TTTTTTTTAATAATCGTAATTTTTTTTTTGTGAACAATGTCATGATTATATATATAAACAAAATCAAAATGATTATACACACACACATATTCAATACCAAAAAGAAAAAGATAAAACAATTTCAATTATGTGTAATAATTTTTACTCTTTCATTTAAAATTAAAAGAAAAACATACTTCCTCCACTAGTGGTGAGTACGAAAAGAAGACACTCCCTCAAGAATGTTCAAAAACAAAAGGAAAAAGACAAATTAGAGACAAATTAGTGCTGATGCCATGTGAAGAAGAAATATGATGGAGAAGAAAAATAATAATAATACTCCGTACTATGTTCCTTCAACCTTTTATTGGAGTCTTAAAATCATTCCCCTCTTTCTCTCTCTTAAGCATATACTCCGTAGAAAAAAAAATTATATGCAACAAGAAGAAAACACTACTAGAAAGTTTCAAGTAATAAATTTTAAGAAAGTTATATGCGTGGAGGGGAGTCTACCATTTATACATAGTTTAATTTAAGGTATGTTCATAATTGAATTCTAATTTTTTTTTTTAATATTTTATTTTAAAGCTACTCTGTACTAAATTCTACTTTGTTTTAATTTATCAAAAACATGATTTTCTGATATTATGAGGAAATTTATTCCATTTTAATTTATCTAATTTTATTTTTTTTATAAGTATAAGTTTCTGATGTGAAGGATCCCAACTTTGGGCAATCACAGAGCATACTTCTCATAGTTTTTAAGAAAATATTTTAATTTGTTCATGAAGAAAATAAAATAAATATACCTTCTGAGAAGAACAAGGATTCTGGGATTTTGAGCAATTCGTGCTGATAACGTGTTATAAAATGAGAGAAAAACTACTCAAAGATTATGAGAATGGATATAATATATTTCTGATTTCTTCTCTCTATTAACTCTTCACTCTTCTTCTTATACTTAATGGTGATTACAATGCAGGGATTAAGCCTCTATTTATAGTGGAGAGGCTTAGTATGAATACAAATACAAGTGGGAAGGACTGTACTAAATTGAACCTCATCAATGGGTGTCTTAATCTACTATTCTGGAAATTATATCTGATTAATTGAATAAATGAACAATCATTAATTTCATAACATTTATAAGGTTGTGACAAGAGTTACAATATACTGTGATAATTATACTTATATTTTATTTTGGGAGGTTTATTTTAGCTGGATCTATGCCTATCCAATTACCTTACAAGCTGGAGTTGTCTAATGACAACCACTACACATTTAAAATTTTCTTCTTATGGAAAGTATTAAGTTTGAGTCACCTATCAATAAAAATAGGCTACAACTTATTTATGAGTTTGAGAGTTAGATTATATTTTCGTAGAGATCTCTAGTATCGATGCTCTCAAAACTTTCAGCCTTAGAACGAAACAAGTAGGGGCAAGCGGTATACAATAATCCATAGGTCCAAGCCAGAGGCCGGGATTTCTAGTGGTGGGGCTGTAATACGGTTGTCCGGCTAATATAAAAGGGCCTGTTTGGCGACCGCGTCTTGGACTCTAAACGCTAAAGGCTATTTTGTTTATGTTTGTTTTTCGTTGCGTTTCACGCAAAACGTCTTCTCCTAATCTTCCTCAACGCTAACACAAGAAGTTCCTCCTTCAGTCCTTCCCAGCATTCAGTGACAGAGATCATGACCTTAGTTTTTGATCATATTAGTAGTACTTTAACACTAGTGATGGTGTAAAACCAACGTAATACTAAGTCACAAAAAAAGAAAGGATTGTAGGTGGAAACACTTGTAATCCAAATAGTTATTTATAATGTACGACTTATTACAAGTTTACAAGCTGTGTGGATTATTAATTGACTCCTCCTTTATGAGGCTTTCAATCCTATTTGTAATAATAGAAAATACACTATTCAATACCACTGTTCATTTTAAGTCATCCACCCGGGCAGTCTTCTAGCCGTGATCTTACTAGTCTGACCCTGACATCCACCCGGTTAGATTACCGGGGTCGGTGAGGTCAGGTGGGATCATACTTCGGTAACTCTCGGAAGCTTGTGAACTTACCGGGTGGTACCAATGGGTATAAGCCATCAACTAGATATATTTAAATTTGTTTTTTATCTGATCTAATATAGTTTTATCTAGTCTAATTTTAATAAAATAAATACTCCGTAATAAATAAGAAAATAAGTTAAGTAGATCACGACCCCAGTTTTTCAATTACCCAAAATTTGGTTTACTGCATAGGAAAAAAAGTTGCATTTGTGGAAAAAAGGTACGTATGGATTGGTCATCATGCCTCATGGATGATGTCAGCGTGACACAATCACCACAATCCGGGTCGGAGGACTAATTACTCCGTACTTCTTTCCTCTTCTATATACACAGTGTGTGTGTATGTATATATAAGTATCCATATATATATATATATATCCTCCAAATCCTTCTAATTAACTTATCATACACTAAATAAAATATGCTTAATGGTATGGCTACCGACGGCAAGCTCATGCACGCGGTGCAGTTCAACAGTTACGGCGGTGGCGCCGCCTCATTAAAGGTCTTTTTCATTCAATTCCCCCGGCCCCCATTTCTGTCTTTCTTTCTTTCTTTTTTCCCTTATTGTTACAGTATATGGTTAATTGGATGCAGCATGTTGAAATTGGGGTGCCTGTCCCTAAGAAAGGTGAGATATTGATCAAGCTGGAGGCAATGGGTTTGAACCCCATTGACTACAAAATTCAATCCGGCATTGCCCGCCCCTTCTTGCCCCCCAAATTCCCTCATATTCCCGGTACACCTTACGCGTTCATATTTATGCATTTATATATACTGGTCTCTTTGTATATATAAAGGGGAATTTACTCAAATAGCACTAGTCGTGCCCCGATCCATCTTATTAGGTTCTGATATTACCGGGGAGGTTGTGCAAGTTGGTTCTGGCGTTCAAAGATTCAAACTTGGTGACAAAGTCGTCGCCATTCTCTCGAATCGAGTAATTAATTTGCATTGATTTGATTCCAATACGAATAAGTATATGTATATATACGTACGGATTATATATGTGTTCTTATTGTTAATAAATGATCAGGATGGAGGTGGATTGGCAGAGTATGCGGTCGCTAAGGAGAGCATGGCGGCCAGAAGGCCGCCGGAAGTGTCCGCGGCGGAAGCCGCGGGCCTCCCCCTGGCTGCGCTCACCGCTCACGAGATGTTGACCCGAGTCGCCGGGGTCAAACTCGACGGGAGCGGTCCCCGGAAGAACGTCCTCGTGACGGCCGCCTCCGGGGGCGTGGGCCACTACGCGGTCCAGCTCGCGAAGCTGGGGAACGCGCACGTCACCGCGACGTGCGGGGCCCGCAACGCGGAGTTCGTGAGGAGCCTGGGGGCGGACGAGGTGCTCGACTACAGGACGCCCGAGGGGGCGTCCCTCGCCAGCCCCTCGGGGAAGAAGTACGACGTGGTGGTGCACTGCGCGACGGGGATCCCGTGGTGCACTTTTGAGCGCCACCTAAGCAAGGACGGTAAGGTGGTCGACATCACCCCGAGCGTCGCCGCCTTCGTGACGTCGGCCTGGAAGACGATCACGTTCTCGAAGAAGCGGTTGGTGCCGTTGTTTACGTCTCCGAACGGGGAGAGGTTGGGATACCTTGTAGGGCTGGTGAAGGAGGGGAAGCTAAGGGTAGTCATAGACTCAAACTATCCCTTGAGGAAGGCGGAGGACGCTTGGGGTAAAAGCATTGGGGGGCATGCCACTGGGAAGATCGTTTTGGAGCCATAGGTCTCTTTGTTCTATTTCGTCTAATCTCATTGATTCTTATTTAAGCTTTTCGAGATTTGATGGAATTTCACATTCTCTCTCTAGACCTTAATCTTCTTGAGATTATATTGAACTTTTATTGATGATCTTGATTAATCAGACTAGCTTTTATATGCATGATTTATATATTGCCATTTCTTTATATAATAACTTGTGCTGCATTATTTTTCCTCTCACAATTTAACATATTGTACTATTCAGTTATATATTGTACTTATGAATAATTTGGAAAAAAAACATGTATGGTGTGTTTTATGAGGTGTGTTGTGTTGGAAGTATTGACGTGTCACAACTAGGCCAATGCCCCCTCTCTTACCCCTTGTAGTTTGAGAATTTGGCACTAATACCCCATCTGTTTTCAAAACTTATTTCTAAAGTCTCCGTGATTTCAAAACGTTGCACCTACACCTCCTCTGATCATTTTCTGGCCATTTTTCGGTGAAGAGGGGACATTAGCGCATAATTTTTAAACTATATGGGGGCATTCGTGCTCATTTCTTATTTTCGTTTATTATTTTTCCCTTTTTTTAAATATTTTTTCTATCTCTTTTTCCTTTTCCTAGATTTTTTTAAATATATTTTCAATTTTTTATAATGTTTCAAAAATTTTCAAATTCTTTGTGTTTGAAATGAAAATAAAAATAAAAAAAATTAACATATATTACATCTATCTCAAATTAAACATTTTCACTCTTTGTTACTTAAAATAATTTTTTGAAAAGTTCAAAAAAAAACAAAGAATAAAAAAAATAAAAATATGGAAAAACAAAATGAAAAAAAAATTAAAATACGCTAAAAAAGTCTTATACTCCCTCCGTCCCTAAATAGATTACAATTTTTTTCTCTCTCCTCTCGATAACTTTTGTTTGTTTACACGATTTCATTAAGTATTTGATAAAATAAAATATTCTCGTCACCTCTTGTTTTTACGTAGAACTTTTCACGTAGTTCTTTAACATATAATTTTTATATCTTCTTGATATATCAATTTGTAAATAAAATGATTTTAAAAAGTAGGAAATTTTCACGCAACCTGCAATTTGTAATCAAATTGGGGACGGAGGGAGTACAAAAAAAATTGGACACACCTAAAAAAGTCCATAGAATTAAGATGTCCAAAAAGGATATTCATTTTTATTTTTGTATTAATTTGTTTCTTATTTTATTCTTCATTTTTTTGAAATTCTTAAAAAAGTTACTTGTTTTCAGAAAAAACAAAAATTGTTAATTTGAGAAGTACATATGCATTATATGTTATTTTTTCAAACAAAAATAACTTTAAATTTTAAGAACATTATAAAAATAATTTTTAAAAAACCTTTATTAACAAATGAAAAAAATAAGGAAAAAATGGAAAGAACAAAAAATATGTGAGAAATAAAAATCAGCACTGATACCCCCTATGATTTAAAAAATATGCACCATTGCCTCCCTTCTTCACTGAAAAAATGGCCGGAAAATGATCAGAGGGGACACGGGTGCAACATTTTGAAACCACATGGACTTTAGAAATGAGTTTTGAAAACAGAGGGTGTATTAGTGCTTATTTTGCAAACCACGAGGGGTATCAGCGCTATTTGGCCGTCACAAATTATTTAAGGGAGATCAAAATTGCACTATTCAAATTAACAAAAGGTAAATAGTGCCTAGTCCTAAAACATGCTTCGATCCTATAAATGTGTCTTTGATTTTTAAAATAATTTTATTTACAAATTAGTATTGAAATAAAAAAACAAATTTAAATATTTAAAATTACATTAAAAAATTTACAAAATAAGATGCGACAAAAATATTTTTCTATTAAACAATCAATGAAAATATGTAAAGACACAAAAATGTGAGAAGGGTTCACGACAACTATTTTTAAACGAAAAAGAAGGGAGAGATAAATATTTAAAGTAAATATTTTTATTTTTTTGTGAAAGTTGTGAAGTATACGATTTTCTCAATTAAATAGGGATGGAAAAAGTCTTTTTTTTTTTAACTCAAAACAAAATTGGCGGGGGGAAATGTTTTCTATACCCTCCCTCCCATGTCATGATGCCACCAATATCCCTTTTCCAGTCAAAAGCTTGACGATGCGGGCATTGGTTGACTTTTTGAGTTTCATTTTTAAATTAATTTGACAGATCTGAGAGTAGTGCTCGAATCTAACAATAAATTTGACACAACATAAATGACTTGTACCTGTAAGAGGTCACAAAAAAATGTGACACTCTTTTGACACTATAAATGAATTCAAATAGACATCCTAAAACACGAACAAAGAGTTATTGTGTGTATTTATGCGAGATATTTCGCGTCAAAATTTTGGTTTATCAAAAGAGGGATGCTAGAGTACACCAAAAGTGTATTCTAAATGTACACCACCCATTTTTCCATTACTCATTTTTATTTATTTATTTCTTGTTTAATTTATTTGCCAATATATGTAGTATTGGAGGGGATGGTGTACATTTGGGGTACACTTTTGGTGAGCATTTTTTTCTCAAAAACATTTTTGTGAAACAAATTGGCCTGAAATTTTTGGAGGAAAAAAATGGTCTGAGAAAGAGTAATTATTTTACTCTAAGTAATGGCACTTTTCAAAATTTTTATAATTTTTAAATAGTAAAGAGCTTAATTCTTTTGAGTAATACGACCATTACTATAAACAAATATTCTATAAAAAAATATCAAATATAGACTATATATCTTTTTTATCCCTTTTTTTCGTAGGATATTTAACTTAAAACATTAAAATAAACATACTCTCGTAATTGAAGGGGTATGAGTGAACACAATTGAAGGGGTAGGAGGGGTTTGGGTCACGTTGGAATTTAGGTTCACTGACGGTTTGGGTAAAAAAACATCATAATTTCGAACTAAATAAATTTTAACTTAAAAACTTACACATAATTATTTCAACTCACTTTATTTGAATGTTGCAATGAAAAACATTTGTCATACTCTCTCCATTCCATAATGTTCATATTCTGTGCAAAACAAAGCAAAATTTGAATTTTTAAAAATCATTTATTTAAAGATTAGTATAGAACCTAAAAATAAAAAATCAATCAAAACACACAAATAAACAAAAAATTTCTGTAATTTTTGAATAGTAAAGAGTGTAATTTTTTGAAGAGAGGTTAAAATATTTTAGAGACATTGTTTTTACTAATGTTTGACAAGGAAAATAAAACAAACAGAATATGAAATGCATCCTCAAAAATTGCACATAGTTAATGGGGGTGAATAATGTATGTAGTTTAAGTGGGTGCATAAGGTGCCAGTAATATGGAAACAGAGAGACAAACTAAACGAAATCCAAAACTACACAAACCACTTGAGTGAAAAATACATTGGGAGGAGGAATCCACAACAACCGCATTACCAAATCCTCACATTACAACATACACCTCCAAGCAGAGCCACTTCCCTTCAAACCCCCCACACATCAACTTCCCTCGGCTTTCTCCAAAGCTATATTATTCATAAAGAACAACAACAAAAAAGGAATTCACATTAGTCCTGCAAAGAAAAATAAAGAACGCGGAATAAAAAGCTTCAATTCTCTTCACGAAAGAGTACGAAACCAGATATTAATGATATAGATATTATCATCCACACCAGCCTAATGTGCTAGCTACATTTATGAGGAGTCTAGACTCTAGATGCAACCCACCTATTGAGCTATTTGTATCTTGATCTTAGCAGCTTCCTACTTGGAATTGGGCTTGAAATTTATGCGAGAGTGGTTAGACTAGTTAGCTGTGTCTATAGAACCCAGAGATATATTTGACCAATGGAAAACCTGCACGATTGCACTTAACATACGTGCATATTTCTACTTGTAGAAAAACACAATAATGTAAATAATGATTGATGTGTTCAATTTCATTATTAGTGTTACTGCTATAAACGTTTAAGAAGACTAAGTTCAGGTTTTGTTCTGGAGAGGCCAAGTGGAAGCCTCAAAATATAAGGCCAAATAACAGCTTTCCCGTTATGATTATAAGTTTATAGTGCCAAACACAAACATGTGTCATGATCACACACCATATTTGAAGATGAAATTTCACATCATTGTAGAACCACCAAAACCTTAACTTAAACTAAGAGTAGCACCTAGACAACTTTCAAAATGTCTACATTAAAACCACTCAAATTCAGCAAATCCCAAGGCATTTGAAGCCATATATCAAGGAAAATGTGGAATATGTGATGGAAAGACAGAATCTTTTGGAACACCATGTTCTCTTGATGAAATTAATTCAATTTGACAAATCTGATTGAAGCTTAATTAATCTAATCAAAAGATTAAAATATCCAGACATCAACAGTTATGGATTGGATTAGTTTCTGCCAGACAAGTAAGTGTTTGGGTCTATATAACCTTGCCAAATGTTGACCATGGTCAAAAACCATGTACATGAAAAATGCAAAACAAAAGGACTGAGATATGATTGTAACATTGCTTTTTCCTGATGGGTTATGTTCATTGGTTAAGTTTTTTAAGGGTGGCAGATATTTCAGCAGCTACAAGTGGTAACTTTGAGATTGTAGTTTTAACTGTGTGGAGTTCAGAGTTGAGCATCATGCTTGTATACTGAGATATATAGAGTAATAAACTTCTGCCAACAAAAGATTTAGATTACATAATCAAATTGGAGATGTCTTGATAATTCGTGTCCAGAACCGTGATCCAAACCTAGACCTGGTTTATAATTTTTAAATGGGTCCAGAACCGTGATCCAAACATATACATATACATATACATATACATATACACGTACACGTACACGTACACGTACACATACACATACACATACACATACACATATACATATGTATGTATGTATAGGTCTTATACGGAAAGCTTGATAGAGAAGACCAAGAGAGAGAGAGGACAAGTTTAAGTCTATTAGGCTACCCTAAAAGAAAATGGGCTGCACTAAAAAATGGGTTTTTTCAAAATTTTTAATCGGCCCAAGGTATCAAGGCGAGGTAAGGCGACGCCTATGCGAGCGCTTGGTCGCCTTAAGGTTTTCTAGGCGAGCAGACAAGGTGTCCTAGAGACAACGCCTTATCGCCTAGGCAACGCCTTAAAAACTATGGTGTGTGTGTGCATTGTGTATGAAAGGGTAAGAATGGTGCATTACTGTTGTAATTAAGAAGTTTCTCAATAAGATCAACATGGGTCATCAACATTCTTCGGCAGCAATAACGAACCAAACCCAATGCATCAAGAGCATCCCTGTGTAGATAAGAAAAGATTATATGTTTAACGGCATCAAACCCCAATCGTGGAAAATTATTAATCATTCAAATGTTTGGTTTTTAGCTGTGATGGGTGAGATGAAAAGAAGAGATAAAAAAGGGTAATAAACATGAGCCACTGGAGACTGGAATTGAAATTCGATTTCCTCCGTATTTTTTCTATTGAGACCCATGACCCAACACAGCAGTATAATTATAACCAACGTGCAAATAATCAATCATTCTAGTGAGAACAAAAGAGAACTCTTATGCAAGCACTTCAAAAACATGTGAACTCCAAATAGTTAAAAGTTAAAACACCTCAAAAATAACAGCTCTCTTTAATGAAATCAATTTTTGGTTTTTTCACGAATATTAAGGTACTTTTCAGGCAATCTTTCAAAAAATATGCATAAACCAATTATTTAAAGCAATCTTTCCTAATTCCTGAAGATAATCACGTAGTTCAAAGGACGAAAGTTTCCAATGGCACAAATTTTACCCTTCTGTGTAATCGGCTTGTAGAAGATCAAGGTAATTGTCCCATTTGTTTCCAATGACCTGAAAACAAAAAAAAATCTGAATAAATTCAGCGCTATACAGGCGAGGAATTACTGTCTGCTCCGAATTCAACCAAAAAAAAATGCTCTGTAAATTGCTGAAAAATTAATGTGAAACAGAAACGAAGAAGAAAAGATGAAATCGGTTTCTGAACCGGATTACCTTCCCGCATGTGAAGCAACGGACCGGAATGATCATTCTCGGCTCTCAACTCTGCCTAACCTAACGGATTTGCTGGGAAGAAGTAAGACACAGGAAGAAGGGTTTCGGCAGATTTCCCAAGTTATATAGTAGCGTTCGACGCGGGCAATGATTTAATGGGTAATTTGGGCCTTTCTGTGGATCAATTGCCTTCACCCATGCCAACCAGGGCCCATTGGTTTCAGTGTTTTGTTTTAGAGCATCACTAATGGAAAAGAATGAGGGGAATAGCCTATGTGCTAACGAGGGTCCGTTGGTTTCGGTGTTTCGCTTTAGAGGTTTGAAAAGATAAAGTTAGATAGAGTTCGTTCTGTTCACAAAATCTGAATGGTTCCAATCTGATCAGAGTAAGTTATGATTTGATTTATGTTGAAAAGAACAAACTCTATGATTTTGATTTCTGCTAAATCGATGATTTTTACTTTGGTATATACTTTCTATAAATTGTCCTTTCATTTTTTTCGAATTTAGAGATAATATTAAATATATTTTTTATCCCTATAAATTTAGCAATTTTGTTCTCGGTTCCTTTGATTATTTTTAGTCCAAATCAACCTTGAAAACTCTAACATATTAAGTATTAACACCAAAGTAAAGGGAGGACCCTTTGCAAAAAAAAGAACTTCCTGCGTCTCAAATTAAGTTACTTGTTTACAATTTATCTGATCAGATTTTATTCCCTTTTTTTCTATTTTGGTTAGTCATTTGATAAAATAATATAATCATGTCACCACTAGTGTTGTAGATCGTTTTATCTAGTATTTAGATATGTAACATTTATTTTTTTTAATTCTACACTATTTTTTATATAAAATTATTTGAAAATAATTTTAATCGAACATCATAAACCAGAATAGGCGATTTGAATTGGAACAAAAAGAGTACATTTTATAGTGATGGCTTAGTTAAAAAATACTCCACTAGTTTAGTCCAAAAAATTCACTTAGGGACCAAAAATATATTTAACCCAAAAAGACAATTAATGACATCGCTTAATTTTAATGTTTTTAAAATTAATTTGTAACATTACAAAAGTACTCAAAATACTAAACCCTTATTGAAAACGTTATTTCAAAATAAGGTCCAAAGTATTTGACGCCTTGGATGAGGAGTTGCAGGGATAGGGGTGGCCCAAGTTTATGACAGGTTGATTGAAAACAACTAGTGTTGTAATTTTAAGTATTAAAGTGTTAATGTAATAGAGACTAATATTATATGGAGTAGAAACCTCCCAAGTCCTAATGAAACTCATACCATGTATGATATGTCTAAAATTAAACTCAGATTTACCTACTTATGTGTCAGAAATCTCAAATAGGAGGATGTTTAACAAATCCTTTCAAAACTTACAAACGAGTGGCTCTCAATGTAGCTTAGGGTCCGTTTGGTTTACGGAATTGATTGAATTGGAATTGAAATTCCATTGGATTCAATTCTATAGAATTGAATTCTACCAATTCCTATTCATTTTTTACACTATCAATTCTAAATCCACATAATTTTTGTGCTACCAAACATCAGAACTGGAATTGAAGTCCTCAATTTCAATTCCATAATTTGAATTCCGTGTACCAAACGGGGCGTTAGTGTTTTTTTATATATAAAAATGATCACTTTGTGGGACTGAATTTAGTATTAATAATTTGAAGTGTCACTATTATGTAGCAGTGGATTTGTTTGTGTAGTATAAATATAATTTGTGGCATGAGAACAACAAACAAAAAAAATAACCAGAATTAAGCAGATGTATTTCAACTGGGTTGTTGTAATTAAGCAGATGTATCTTCTGAGGCAGAAAGACCATTTCCTTGTTGCTGCTCGACATCGTCTTCTTCGCTGTAATGTGCCCAAGGCTCTGGTTTTCTCCTTGCAGCACCTATGCCCACTCTTCTTCGGGTTTCTGCAGCGAAAAAAACATGGACGATGAAGATTGAAGAATCAAACAAATGCCATTGCTTGGAAAGGTTGTTTGTTAGTTAGATTGTACTCTACTTTTGCTAGTGATTGCAGAGCGAGTGACGGCTAAGAATTCTTCCCAGTTCAGCTTTCTGAGCTTCTCTTTCTCCTCCTCTGGTATTTCAAAGTTGGGCTCTCTCCCACACATGAAAGCAGCCCTATCATACAGCCTGGCAGCTTCTTCCTGAGACCCAACAGTTCCCAGGTGAATTTGCTTTTTGTCAACTTTAATGGCTGCTTGCCATTTCATGTTCTTGAAATACACCCCCCTCATCAAGCACGGCTCTGGGCTGTCAATCTGTTTCCTCTTCTGTCGTTTCCGGCGCTTAACTTCTGCAATGATGCCAAATGCATTTATGTATTGTATCTATCTAATCGCCGTATACATTCCAACCCGAAAAGCCCTCTGATATGGTAGTAGTTGTTGTCTGTAGTACACTCATTATACATTACCAAAAAAAGGTTGTGGCAATAAAATCAAACCTGAAAATTTCTGGTTTTCCTGGTCTTTCGAAGGCGGGGAAGCGGGCAAGCTTGATGATCCTGGAGTTGCAGTTTCCTAAACGAGAAAAGAACGGGTCAGGCTTATCGTATTTAGTAAGAAATCAAATTGTTAAGCAAGAAGAAAGTGGTATGCCAATGAATATATAGAGTAATTTCTGAATTTCCATGAAAACCAACACATTGTAATTGTACTATACAATATTATTCTTTGGAAATCTAAATTCCTTCTTGAATTGGTTTAGTTCTCAATCAACTCCACATGTTTTAAATTAAGACATGTATAGAGAGTTACCTCCTTCGGCTGGTCAAGGTCGTTTGATGGTAAGGGATAGACAATGTTTGGTTTTGTATTCTGCACAAAGTTTCCTAGCACGCATCCATTCTCAGGAAACTTTGCAAATTGGGCAATGCAAGAACTTCTCCCTGAAAAAGAAACCGCTTTGTCAAGAATTGGAATGTGTATATCTTGCATCACACATTCAGGACATTCCAAATCTTTTTCAAAGATTTTTTTTTTTCACAAATCAAAAGTTATGTTTCCAAACAAAGCACAAGAATCATCAAGCAACTGGAGTTGGCATACCGGAAGAGCAAAGTCCGAGGAGTCTACGCCTTCGTATGCTCACCATAGTATTCCTAGTAAGGACCAGACAAAATATACAGACACAACCTTAGCAAAAGAAAGAAACAAACAAACAAACAAAGAAAACCATAAATGCAAGAATAAAAGGTAGTTATATGATGTGTTTATCAGACAAGAATAAAAGGTGAGACCACAGGAGCACTGCACCCTAAAATAGAAGGAAATGCCCTTAATTAACCAATCCACATATGACACATCAGTGACATCACTAGTCCTACAAAGTAGTAGCACATATATAGTCTAACGCCTTTCCTTTTAAGGGCACTCAAATTGAGAACTGTTGAAGGGTATGAAGCTAGAAATTGTAAGATCCATCAAGGTGGCAAACACAGATTCATCAATTCAAGACTACAAAATCGATTCACAAGAAAGTGGAGAAAATTTCTTCAAGAAATAAGCATAAAAATCGCATCTTTTTTTCTCGAAGTCTACATCCTTGGACAACAAGTCAACTCCACCACCTTTCATGGAGGCGCAACATCAAGAAAGCAAAACAAAGAATACCCACACAGTAAAAGCGAAAACCCATCGCATTCCGATCGTCAAACTGGCAAATCGTCGTCGCCGTCACGGCCAATGCCGCCGGATTGCAAGAAACCCGGACCGACAAAACCAGAGGAGGGGGATTGGGGGAACAGGCCGGGGACGAAAGAAATTAAAAAAGGCCCAAGATGAGAGACGGTATGTATACCTCGCCGGTAAAAACAAGAAAAAGTGGGTCAGTTGACGGAGACGTGGCAACCGAGGCGGCGGCGGTACATCCGGGAGCGGGTGGAGAAGATAGGGATGTTAGGGAGGATGTGAGTAGTAGGAGTAGTTGTTGTTACTCATGCATCTACCACCTTTTGTTTTTTTTATTTCTTATATTGTAATCACTCGATATAATGCATTTGTGTCGGGACAGGGCGGCGGCGGCGGCGGTGGCGACTGCTGCCGTGGTGGTGGGTGATGTGGAGCCGTGAGAGAGAGAGAGAGAGAAAGTTAATACGGGGGATGAGGAACCAACCGTATGCGCCTTGTGCTGACCGAAATGTCCGGTGCCAGTCCATTATAATCACACTCCAGCTCCCATTATCTTTGGGCCTATACGCATTAATTTTGGGGTCAGCTGCACCCAATTCTCTTATTAATGCATTTTTTTTCTTATTGGTGCATAGGGGGTTTATATATATACATCTATATTCGAATTTAATTTTGTATATAAATTGAATAAGAAATGAATTTTATATGAAATCCGTATTGGATTTATATATGAATAATCAATGAAGAACTCTAAACGGATGACAAAATAAATTTTTTTAAATATTTTCAAAATATTATTTTACCTAATTATTATAAAAAATATTTTTTATTTAATTGTAGATCAAAAGTTGAAAACAATTGATTGAAAAAAATCAAAACTGGACAAATATTTTGTATGAGACAAAATATTTCAATTTTGCTTCATCCTTGAAAAGGGAAAGTCTTTGGGTAAAAACTTAAATCTGCACATTGTGTGGTTCTACTAGCCCTCAGTATTTTGGCTCGAAGTAGCCACTGCCCACTAGCTAGCCACCATTTGCATGGGCTTGTTTGGAGAAATCACTTGGACTCGTTTGGTAATAAAAATGAAAATTAATGAGATGATTAAAATTTGTTTTCTATTTTTGTAAATAAATCACTTGGATCACATAATTTTTTTTCTTTAAAAGCTTCTCATTTTAGTTTATAGTGTTTGAATAAATTATTTTTAATTTAATTTATTCTAAATTGGTGTAGAATTTTTAAAAATAAACATCATTGACAAAGTATTTAAAAACTACATTAAAAGTATTATTAAAGACAAGGCACGTCAGAACTAGCTACTTTATTTTAATGACCAATGAAAATATATTTCATAATAGTATCAAACACTGTATAACTTTTAAGATCCAAGTTAGAGGTATCTATTCTCTTAGTCCTATAAAATCTTTTCATTTTTTTTTTAAAATTTCTTCTGTCTAAAAAAAATTCTTTTCTTTTAATGTAGAGAATTTTTTAACTTAGGATTGAAACTTTGTCTCTTCTAATTCTCTCAATCGACAATCGTACATTTTCTAGTCCCCAACATTTTTTTAATAATTTCGAGAAAGTCAAAATAAAAAATTTGACGAAACCAATAGAGAACATTGGAGTGGGGACAAGGCCAGAGAATTTGGAATAACGTAGTGATTTGGTTAGTGTGCGGTCAAGGTTACAATTAGTCAATAAGTTTGTGTAAAATATCAAGGGAATCCATTTTTCACCTGCTTTTATAATGGGCCTGTCGGGAGAACTGACCCGAAAAACAAAATGGACCAAAATGTGATCCAAACTATAATGTGCGACTAAAAAAGCGTCCAACACTTTTCTGGATAAACGCTAATTGTAAGCATAGGCCTAAACAATGCCGTGTCATGTGGGCAGAATCCTTATTGTAAGCCCAGGCCCAAAAAGCTAATGAAGTTTTTTTTATTGTATTTATAGACGACATAATGAAGTGAGTACAATTAAAGATGTTTGTTAGGGATGACAATTCCTATATGGATAAATGATTCACCCAATCCGCTCTCGTGGATAAAAATTTGAAAGAAAAGGACGATGGATTGGGTCGGATGTGGGTGGAGATGCTCTCACCTGTCACCCGATCCATCACCTGAGACATTCATATTTTACTTTTTAAAAACTAAAAATTGAAAAAATTGACTTTTGTTGGCTACATAAGTTTTTTTTTAGTTTTGAGTGTTCCATTTTAGTTACATGCTTCAAAAGTTTTTGTTTTCATGTGATTAATGATTAAAAATTTATTATTTTTATCACCTATTTTCACCCTCTTCACTTGTTTCACTCGTGGATGATGAATGATGTATGTAATGGATAATAAATAGATCGGATGATAAATATAGAGTCTATGAATGGATGAGGGTGAAGCTCCACCTGACCAAAACCCGGCACGTAGTGATCACTAATGTGTGTATATTATGTTGTCTAACCATTTTAATAATTGTAACAAATTAAATTTACAAAGTTGTAAATTTTTTATGATGAATTCTTTTATGGGACACAGAGTTGTTTAAAATGACAAATTTCACGTTGAATAGCTCCAATCTACATGAATAGCTTAGTTAATGATAAGTGTTATTTTAATAATTAAATCTAATAAGAAATTACATTTTAACACAATGAAATAATTACTTGAAAGATTTTACAGGAAAATCATTGTAGAAAATTTGTAAAATTAGATTAACAAAACTAAACTGAACAAACAATCTTTGTCACAGTACTAGTATACGAAGAAGTACTACCTCCGTCCCAAAGTACTTGTCATGTTTTGACTTTTTTAGTTAAAATTGAACCAACAACTTAACAAGCTGAATTGTCACCCAAAATATACATTTAATGTGACATTTGTACTATGGACTATTATTAGTTATCTATGAATGAATCTCATAAAACTTGACCAGATTAATCAAACATTAACATCCAAAAGAGATTTAGTACAAGTGTAACAATAATTGAATACCAAGTTTTTAAGGTAAAAAATCTCCTTTGCACTCTCACATACTCTCCCCTTATTTATATGTTGTTGAGATATTATCCATTAGATGAATATTACGAATATTTTTTTTAAACACATACTCCTATCAATGTTATACTACCTCGGTCATTAAATATTTGACGAGTTTGATTTTTTTGAGTCAATCAAGATAAATTTAGTTCACCAATCAAATAAAAATTGCATTGCATATTAATATAAAAGTGATTTCATTCGATTTATCTTATAGAAAGATTTCAAAAAATCATTTTATTATATTATATGCAATGTAATCGAGTAATATTCTTTATAATTAGTGATGACAAATTTTCATGAGAAATAATTAATACCTAAGTACAGCTCTATATAAGATTTTTTCCCCATTGTTTCAAGTCTTCAAACCCTCTTTTCCATAATGTCTTCTTCTTCTTCAATTACTATTATTAATAAAACCTTTAATAAATTATGTGCATTATCATTTCTTGTCCCCCATCACTTGAAGCTCTTCTTCTCCCTCCTCCTTTCTCACCACATCATCTTCTTCTCATTCTTCCTCCTCTTATCCCCTCTCCTCCTCAAAGCCATCTCTTACATAACCCCTCTTCTCATCTCCACATCCCTTTTACTAGTTTCCCTTTTTGCCCTCTCTTTTAGCGATTACGATAGCAAACATTTTTTCTACGAGGAAGCTTTCGAAGCATACGCAATCGATCTCTTCGAGGTATTCTTGGAGGAAATAACGGGGGAAGAAGAGGCCACGAAAGACGTGGCAGCTTCTTCTGGCTGTAATAACGTGGGAGAAGATGAAAGGATGGATTTGCTCTGGGAGGCTCATGAGATAAAAGCAACCATAAATGGGAAGAGCAAGAGAAAGCCGAAGAAGACGAAGACTACGAAGAACAGGAAGAAATGTGGGGTGAAAGAAGAAGAAGAAGAAGAGATGAGTGAGGAGTGTTGCATGCAAGCAATGAAGATGAATCTATGGTTTGGGTGGCTGCCGAATGTGAGGAAGCACGGTAAGACGGTGCACCCCGCCGCGGTGGATATATGAGCACACAATGAGCTGCAAGGAATGAATAGCATGAATGTTCCAACAAGAAGGAATGGAAGTGATGAATTGTAGATTGAAGGGATATGATATTGTCTTTGAGATGGTGAACACTTCTTTTTTTCTTTCAAGGGCATATTAGTACATTTCTTGAGGATGATGAGATACTGAGATCATAATTCCACTCTCTTTTTTTCATGTTCACACTTCTTATATGTAGTTTGTTTCAAAATTTTTGTGAAACCTCTAATGAATTAAAGTAAAAGTTAATGAATTCACATATAAAAATGATAATGTAAAATTTACTTAGTCTTCATTTGATACACGCATTTCAAATTATGAAATTAAAATTGCAAACATTCCAAATTCTTTCATTTGGCAACACAAAAATATGTGAATTTAGAATTGATAGTGCCAAAGAGGAATTGAAATTGGAGAATTCAATTACATCCAAATCAATTCCATATAATTTGAATTTCCGATTCAATTTCAATTCCGTCAATTTCGTATACCAAACAGACCCTTGGAGAAATTAGAACGTACACCAAAATCTAAGGCCGAACCAAACGACCCACTAATCTGCTGGCTATTTTGCGAAAGAAAAAGGTTCGGTATCATAAACAACTGCAGCAATTAGAACTACACTATAAAATCATTGAGATCCAAAATTCATATTTATGCAAAACCCCACAACAATAAATGATTCTCAAGTGCAAGTATGTCCACAGAAAATTGGAAAATGGTATCTTCTTCCTTGAAGGGGACAAATAAATACTCCACTACACATATGAGCTACATAGAACAGAAACACTGCAACATTAACTAAGCTCTGCTATGGTCCTAAACCCCATTAATTAAATGGGAAACAAGAAAAATAAATAAATAGAACCCTCATTCAATTAAACATCATGCCCCTGATCAACTTTTTTTTTGGAGATGTTCAAAACAAGACTCAATAATTTGAATTATTTCAATTCAAAAAAAATATGATGAATCCACATGATTCAGCTCTCCCCTTGTGTTGCTCAAAGTTCAAGCAGTAGCCGAGTCATGCGGGGCCATGGTTTTTGCAGTCCCGTTGGGCATACCACCACTCCCAGCAGCGCGATTTGTTCGGCCCCCATTGTCAACCCTCTGATACAATGCATCGCCGCCGCCACGGTTTGATGGTCCTCCACGGTTGCCTCCCCTGTTGCCACCATAATCGTTCCTCCCATTGAACTCTCGGTTGTATCCCCCCCTGCCACCTACATAACCTCCTCTCCCCCTACCCCCTTCAGTTCTGAACCCACTACCCCTCCCTTGAAAGAATCTTCTGTTGTTTCCTGATGCAAGAAAAAAAAACACAGTTTTAGTGTCAATAGAAAAGAGTTCATACCCTCCCATTATTGTCCCTCAAGAAGAGTTCATGCCCACCCACTTTCTATGTATTACGGAGTAGTGGATATATTTATACAAATATATGTAATAAAAAGTATATTTAATTTTGCTCCTATTTTGGGTGATTTCTTCCTCCACGCATATCACTAGATCTCCATAAATGAGAGGTCTAAGTGACCTACAAATAGTTCATGAATTCCCCTCCATATGTACATACATGAATAATATTTATGTGTTCCATCTATAAATGATGTAACACAACTTTAATACATACTTAACTTATTTAATCATTTTCGGTTTCATTTTTTTAATACTACATAAAATGTCAAACTCATAGATATATTTTATGTAAAAGTGTAAGATCTCATGCTTCGATGGTGTAAAAACTAGTGTCAAAAGAAAGAGAAGGTTGAAAAAAATTATGCTATGGTTACATAAACTGGACTTTATCATTTCTTTTAGTAAGTTCATTTCACTACCCTTGTTTTAATCTTGTATACACAAATTTAATTCAACTCAGTTCTAAAGTGTAAACTTGCCTCGTGAATTGGTAGACCTCTTCTCCTCAACGAGAGCTTGGCATCCATCAATTAAAATGGGAGAGGCCTAACACAGATAATAAAATAAAACGAAAGAAATTGTCAGCGAACTCACACATAAAAGACCATAAGAATGATACACTGTGAGACACAGATGTCCATATAAATATTATCTTTTGTTTATCATCAACCTGATAGTTTTTGTTCAAAGAATATATAGAAAGAAATTCAAGGGTGTGCTATGAAACAAAAGAGTTAATCCAATACACATAGTGATTTATAAAAGCACACATGCACACTCTTAAGGTGGCATAGTGAACCAAAATAATTACTACATGAAAAATGTCATGGGCAACTGAGATAAACTAAGACAAATATCTCTTTGTAAAATATGACACATGGAACTCTGAAAATGTCCATGCAAACCAATAGAAAAATTAGAAGTAAGATCATACATATTTTTAAAATACTAAATGCTCATCTAAAAAATTAATACCTCAATTGCTTTTTGAACAGCACTTGCCTCCTCAAATTCCACAAATCCAAAACAAAATCCTTGTATCTGTCACAAGCCAGCAACAAATTATTCAATGAAAAAGATATGGTAATAAAAGTACTAAATTGTGTATACATACTTTATTATTTCTGACTTGAATGCCCCCATGTTTGATATTCCCAAACTTCCTGAACTCTTCAGCAAGAGAAGATGGTGTGGCATTGAAAGGCAGCCCTTTTATGTAGATCGAATAGCCTTCAGATGCTGAAAGTAGGATAAACCCGAGAAATTGTAAGAAAAAGTATAAACGAAAGGAATATTTTAGTGATGGAATATCTAGTACACAATTTCCAAAATATGAATAGCATGCCTTCAGCCTCTTGATTATTTGAATCATCACAAGACACTGAACCATCTGGACCATTGGCTACTGGGGTTGGAGATTGATTCACTTTCTCTACATTTTTTGCTACCATCTTCTTGGAGGCAGATGCTGGTGGAGGAGAAAAGGTAGCAGTTTTTTCTGTGAGCTCTATGACCTGTAAAACAATTCCATGTTTTAGACTAAAAAGAAATGGCCCAAGCTAAAAATAGTCACAACTCACAAAGGAATACATTACTATATATAGAGTAATATATGGAAATTTTCAGGGCAAACAGCTAAATAGTTAGATCAAATCACCACCAACTTCACGAACACAATATAGAAAAACTGCTTGTCACGTGCACTTACAATTTTAGCATATGACTTCTTCGGCACTTCTTCAACTCTGTTGGATTTGACTGCCACCTGAGAATCATCATGTAATTCATTAATAATCTCAGTAACAGATACTTCCTCTTTAACTACAGAAACATTTCCTTTATCATCCGGGATGTCCACTTCTCCATTTGAATCCTCTATTGATGGTGTCTCCTGCTCCAAGACATGATTCTTTTCCTCGGGAGGAGCTGCAACTAATAAGTGGTAAACAAAAACTTGGATGTAAGTTCATTTAAGAATATGGTCCATAAGCAGCAAAAAAATACAGAAAGTGTGAATTACTTGGATCTGGGGAAGAAGACAAAACCACTGGAATATGGTTCCGATCATGTTGATTCACAGTTTCCACATATCGAAACATGTCATTCAATACAAAGAACCCGTTTTGTTCTTGTGGTGCCAAAAAGAAAGATTGTGCAAAGTTTCGGATCTCATTGTCCTTGTCTGTTAGGTATCCAGTTACAAGAAGAGATACCCCTCCATTGAATGATTCTTGGGCATCAATAGACTTAATTTCAGCTCTTAAGTCCTCATAATGAAGAGAGAGTATCTTGTCATTGATTGCCTGCAGATTTTTTTTCACCACCAGAAAAGAGTTTCAGATCAAATGAAAGAAGGATATTTAAACATCAGACTTTGCCTCTTTCTTTGGTAATCATGTCTTAGGGTCTGCTTGGAAAGGGAGAAAATGACTTCCACAGGTGTGTTTGGTAACATTAGAAAATGGAAGTCAATAGAAAATAAGATGATGGTCAATGAAAAATGAGGGCTTATATCCAGAATTTGTAATCCTGAATCATAACCCGGAAGACATTTTCCATCTCCCTGTAGCGCAGCCTCCATCTTCTTCGCATCTCCTTCTATGCTCGCACCATCCTTCCTCCTCTCCTCTTCTTCATCATCTCCTTCTTCACTCGCACCCTCCTCCTCCTCTCATCTTCTACTTTGTCATCTCCCTCTTCGCTCAAAAGGTCAAAACTCAAAAGCAAATACAGACCTAGTTATTGCTTCTTTTTTTCTGAAGAAACAAAAAAAGTCTAAAAATTAAACAAATCCATCCAGAAAAAAATGAAAGGAAAATCCAAATTCCTCTCACTGTCGCCAAAATATTCACAAACCAGGTTCGAAGGGCTAACTGTGAAACACACCCAACATACCAACTCTTTGTGTTTTAGGTATTAATTTACCAGTGATTTTGGGTATAGCAATGGGTTGATTACTACCACTACTTGAGTATGAACGCTTTCAATTTGATGATACTTGTGGCAAAGATTATTGCATAGAACCAGGAGAACTTGTAATTTTCGTTACTCATTACTTGAATATTCATTTTCTGGAAATGAACCAAACAGAAAAAGACAATTTTCACACTTCTAGACAAACACTAGAAAAAGAAAATAACTTCGGGAAAATAACTCATTTTCCAAAAGTCATTTTCCAAATGTTATTTTACATGCTTCGAAACGGACGCTTTAGACAGGTTAAAAGAACTATAATCACGATTTCAATTATGTAATTATGGTTATCTGCACACCTGTGACTTTTAGGAGGAAAAGATTGAAACTTTTCTTCTTTCATTCACTGAGATTATCTTAAACTTTCATAGACTATAGATATGTGAGTACCTTCTTACAATTAACTTACATTACGAAACAAAGACGTAAAATGATGAGGGAAAAAGTCAAATAAATCCAAAAGTCCAAATACAATTTTAGTCATAATGGTGGCAAACGGGCTTTGCAACCACAGGTCGGAACCGACCCACACAGTTTGGGGCGTGTCAGGAGCGGGTCCCAAATCTAAACTTACAAAAAGGGGCAGAGCAGGACAAGTCTTTTAGTAAAACAATTTGGACAAGACCGGTTTGTTTCATACAGTTCAATAAAATTATAAATATAACAAACAGATTATAGTATATACCATATATGTTCAAATAACTCGATATTGTATTAATAAAATTACATAATCCCTTCGTCCCATAAAATTCTTTAAACCTTCCGTTTTTGGACATCCTAAATAAAACTTTACACTTACTTTAATCCCTACTTTGATAATGAATATGCGGCTACCAACAATTTTTGCCCCTCTAAATAAATTCTAACCACACAATGTTTACTTTTCAACAACTTTCAAAGCCATCATAAAGTCAAATTGCCATGCATTTTATAGATAAAAGCTACACAGTATATTATAGTCAACAACCATTTTTCGTTAACATTTTTCATATTCAATTGTTTAAAATTCTTAATTGGTTAGATATTGTGGTTAGTTTTTAAAATGTACATTTCATTCAAGCAAATTATGGATTTGTTTCACAATAGAGTTTATGGACCCATCAACGCACAACTAAACCTTTTGAAACAAGTTGGGTTAGGGCTGCTTCCAATTCTTATTTTCAGCAACCCAACCCACCCAACATTGTTCATTTTAACAAGGGATGGCAGCTCCTACGAAAATCGGTCTGACCCAGACAGTTTTTTAAACGACTAACTAAAATGCTGCCCAAAAATGGGTTCTGAATGTACAAAGAGAAAGGTCTTACTTTCATAGTAGTAGTGATGCTCATGGATCCATCTTCCTCAGGGCGGCCTAGTTTACTCGAATCCTGGTAAAACTTGAAGACAATGTTGGGAGAGAGATGCAGTATGTTATAATACTGCTGGACAAACAAGTTACCCACCTATTATCATGTATCATCAAAAAAAAGATTAAACCCAGGAGACAGGCAAAAGCGCACCAAAGAAGAAGACAATGAAAATTACTTACAACTTGGGGAGAAACCCGCGGTTGTGGTACGGCTGCAGCAGCTACTGTCTCCATTGCTCCTCAACCCAAACTACCAAGCTAGGAGCGAGGATACACTAGACGTTTGAAATATTGCAGAAAAAAAGCTACTCTACGCTGCAGAACGCTGCGAAATGCGGATACGGCATGTGTGAGCAATTGTTTCATGGAGCTCAAACTTGAAGATTGAGGAGCGATCTAATCGTACCTGAATTCGAATCGGATCCAAATGATCGAGGCGCGAGGGAACTTTGTCTCTTCGATGATTCTCTATCGAAATCCCACTGGTCGAACTCGGAGCTCGAGGAAATGGCTATGCGTTGGGATTGGTTTTGTGTGTCTAGGGTTTTAACAAGCTGGGGTCTCGAAGGGGCGCGACGAGCGGACGAACAATCTTGGCTCTGCAAGTATTTTAAATTATTATTCTTTTTTAAAGTATGTGGATATAATTAAAAAAAAGTTTGTGGTTAAAAATTGAAAACTTTATTAAATGTTGAAATTATTGTCAAGTGATCATTGTGAATTTGTTTGGAAACAATATTTTCAATTATTGTTGGTATTTTAAATAAAATTTTACGAAATAATTATTTAAGTTAGTTCTAAAAACGCTAACAATAAATGCTATCATTCGATAGCGTTTTCAAAACACTAACCAATAATGTTGATGCCAAACAGAAACTAAAAATATTTATAGTCGATAAATAATTTAGAATCATTTTTGAGTTATTGAAACATCAATAATCATTTTTCTTTATTTTCTTCTCACATTATATACGGAGTATATCTTTTCTCGCATCATCTTCTCCTTCAATTTTCTTACTCTATTCTAATCAACTTTTTACGATTTTCAATTAATTGTTTCTATTTTTGTAAAATGACAATTCGTGACTCAATGTACTCCCTCCGTTCCTTTAAACATGGAATGTTTTGATTTTGAAGATATTTAAGGAAAGTGTATTTTGATATTGAATTTCCAAAAATGTCCTTTGATGTGATGGGTAAAAGTATGATTTGATGGATAGATTATTACTCCGTAGTAAAAAGGTATGATGTGATAGGTAGGTTATGGAAAAAATAAGGGGTAAAATTGATTTTTAATAGAAATAAAAAATATTTTTTGGAACGGATGAAAAAAGAAAGGAGAAAGGTTTTTTAGGAAAGGAAGGAGTATATTACAGTATTACTTTATTACTTTACACAAAGATCAACATATGGGTCTTTTGGGTTGTACAATCACACATTGCATGGTTCAATGTAAAAACTAATGATAAAATTTCTCTTGTTTCAAGAAATATTTAAATTAAATGGGTCATTGCACCAAGTGTACTCATTGATGGATTAAATTTAATTTTACTCTTTAAAATTTAATCCAGTGCACTATTCATGTCTGGATTTAAAAAACAATCCAATTATGTTTTTTGCCAAAAGAAAATTATACAATCTTTTTTGAAATTACCTTCCCATACATACATTAAATGTTTATTGCGTTATCCAATGTTTAATTAGTTGTATGATAACTTCTAGTTTACAACTATTTTGCTAATTGATTTAATCAATATTTAAAGGCTCTAGGTAACATTAAACTGATAAAAATTGAATGCTTTTTAACAAAACTATAAAAGGACCATTCCCTTTTCTTTTAAGAATTTCTTTTTATAATCGAATCAAAATAGAATGATCATTCTCGTCTTTTAAATTAATATATTTAAGTCATATCCAAGATTCTTAAGATAGTAAATAGTAATTCATTTTAATGACATTACGTACTCTAGACGATATTTTTAAGACCCAAAAAAGGTCACATTTAGTACATTTTCAAAACATGTTTTCGAATTATTCCTTCTTTTTTAATTAACTTAATACTTTGCATTAAATGGTTTGTGGCTCAACGTAGTATGTTTTTCAATGTATCAAACTTATGACATAAATTAAATGTTTATTGCGTTAACCAATTTTTAATTAGTTGTATTGGTTCGTGGCTCTATGTATGACAACTCGTAGTTTACAGCTATTTTGCTAATTGCTTTAATCAATATTTAAAGGCTCTATGTAATATTAAATTGGAAAAAAATTGAATGCCTTTGTTTTAATAAAAGGATCATTCCCTTATCTTTAAATACATTTTTAGTACTTAAATCAAAATAGGAAGATCACTCTCTTCTTTTAAATCAAAATATTCAAGTCATTTCCGAAATTCTTAAGATAGTAAATAGCAATTCATTTTTAAAGACATTACGTACTCTAGGCGATATTTTTATAAAATATTGTATGGTTATGTTTGACGAATGTTTTTTATAGACGTATAAACATGTTCTTTCTATATCGTTAATTGACACGCACGACATTTTCAAAATATGTTTTCAAATTATTCCTTCAACTTCAGACTTTGCATTAAATGGATCATGGTTCAATGTATAACGTTTCCCAATGCATAACTAGAATTTGTAGTATCTAAAAAATAACTTGAATGATCAGAATTTAGACAAAGACTACACACCTCATCATCATGAAAGACAACCTTCATCGATTCGATATTTCTTCCAAAAGGTTGAACGTGGTAGACACGAACAGTTCGTACATGGATAACAATCTTGTTGTGGTCCTTTTCGAGCTCACCACGGTTCATATACAGACTTGGGATAACACGTTTGGGAGCCATATTGAGAAAGATGAAATTTTCAAAACTTTTAATGGTGGGAAAATGAATTGGTGGTATTGCGCAAATGTTCTTGATAAACATAAAATTTGAATAGTTTCCCTAGGAAAAAGTAATGATGATTTTAAATTGGGATATGCTATGCAATAAAGAAAGGGAAACCGTCAAAATACATATTCCAAGGCCCACTTTTAATGCATTTACGGATACAAAAAAACCAATCTAATTCAACCTTTCAAGATCTATTGGCCCAATCGGATCAATCTTCCTCTTTGCCCAACTCGATACCCAAATTGGATACCCAACCCGTGCCTAAAAAGTTTAGGCGGGAATTTAGCACTGTTCATTTCTTTCCTTTGCCTTTGTATATTAGAAGATAGCAAATACACCCTCTCTCTTATCAAAAGTACTTTATAAGCCCCATGTGATTTGCTAAAACGATGTATAACCCCATCTTCCTATCAAATGTATCTTACATCCCCCCTCATGTTGGAAACCAAACGCGCGCACACCGTGGATGATATTTTTTGATAAAAAATTCGAAATTTACATACATACCCTCATACCTAATTGTCATTGAATCGTCACATCATGTCCACTATCTCATTAGATATTTTCCATTTTTATCAAATGCTCCACATATATTCTTTCTATCTTTGTTTTCATGTAATTTAGATGGATCGGTTTAAGACATAAATGATTCTGATTGGGAGCGTAGTCCAGATAATCTCTGGTTAATAGACTTAAATTTTCAGGACCCAATATTTTTAGATGTTTATTATTTTAATTATTTCATATTTTTAAATTTAATACAAATTTATATTTATTGTTCAAATTGTAATAGAGGTAATTAATAAAAATCTTACTTAGCACTAATTTTGAAACACATGTACTCTAAAAAAAATACGACTCAACATATGATTTTTGCACAAGGCCAATATCATTTGTTTACATTTCCGGACCAGAATGTACCATATAAATATCAAACATTTTCTTCATCCTTCAATCTTTCATTGTTGATGTCACTGTTTCACGTCTTGTTTTGTATCGTCATCTTGTCGCGACCTTTCACGTCAATAGAGTATACAAATGAGTCAATTATCTTAACGTTTTCTCTTGTCTGTACGATATGTTAATATTAGTATTCATTCAATCGGAATACAACGATACTTTCGATGATAAACAATTAAATCATTAATCGCTTCATAACAAGGTGTCAGTTCATTCAGCAAGGTTGAACCGTTTTTAACTTCTAACAAGTAGGTTCTTTGAATTTGATCAAACAAATCGTCAACGCAAAGTAAAGGGTAGCAATTCTCGATCGTCGGTTTGTCCGTAAAAGCATTATAAATATGAGTATTATAGAGATGGTGGATGATATTTTGGGCTTATCCTTTCAAACAATGGCAATAAACCGACTCCATAGATGCAACGTACTCGCATGCTTCCAACGGCTGCTTCATCACCACTTCGTGCGTTCAATCTTCAACAAGAGGGAGAATATAGGATATTTCTGAAAGGAAATGAGGTATATCTAAACATAGAATAGGTTTGAAACTTGAAAGGAAATTAGGTATATACATATGACTTAAACAAACTATGCTTATGTGCAATAACCCCTATGAATGCTAGGTCGGGTGTACCCTAACATTACACTTACATATCCCTAGCGTGGGTAGGTGAGAGTTGTGGGTAGGGGTGGACACGGTACGGTTCCGGGACGGTTCCGGTTCCGGTACCGCCACCCCTTGGTACCGGTACCGGTTCCGGTTCCGGTACCGCCGGTTCCGGTACCGTTTCGGCCACCCTTAATTTTGTTTTTTTTTGCTTTTTTATTATATTTTTAAAATGTAAAATTGTAAATGTGTAATTGTTAAAGGAAATGATGAAATAAAAAAATTTAAAAATGAAATTAAAAAAAAAACGGTAACGGTACCGGAACCGGAACCGCCGGTGCCGGTACCGAAAAATGGGCACCGGAACCGGTACCGGATTGGGCGGTACCGGTACCGGTTCCCGGAACCGGTGGACCGTACTGGCCGACGGTAACGATACCGGAACCGGCGGTACCGTTTCCGGTACCGGTACTGTACCGGTACCGTGGCCATCCCTAGTTGTGGGCTACACGATTCAACACATGCGCATGGCATTCCCACACTTTTGAGCCGATCCAGCGCGGGTAAACTAACCGACGACGAACTGCCATTTTATTGCAGTCCGCATATAAATTCGCCTCCCTTTCCCCACGCAGAACCGCCCTCCAACTAAGCACTCTTACCGACCGTGTCGATGATGCCGCGAGGGGCACTCTCGGCGTGCAAGATCCCCGCCGTCGACGCATTTCCACAAACACTTACCACTCACTCCCGGTTTCCCAGTCCCAGACTATCCACCGCCGGCCGCCGGCACGCCGTCGTTTCGTCCTCTTCTCCGGCGAATCACTGTCCGGTCCGATCTGTCATCGCCCAGGAGCCCAAGAAGAGCCAGCAGGTTGGGTTCCGGCCGCCCAGCCTTGCCGCCGACCGGCTACGGCTCGGGAGTTTGTCGGAGGATGGGTTCTCCTATAAGGAGAATTTCATTGTTCGCTGCTATGAGGTCGGAATTAACAGAACTGCCACTGTTGAAACTCTTGCCAATCTATTGCAGGTAATGCTTGATCATATGCCCCATTCTCATTATTCTCCCCATAAGAAATATAATATTACTATGCATTACTGTCTACTTTCTTTATTCTATTCTTACCATAATTCCTTATTTTACTTTGATGAAAATTTTGATCTTCCAAATACAAAACCAATTTGGAATTGGAGGATAACTTATATTCTTATATACTCCATATTAGTCTTTTCTTGGTGTGATTATAGTGGTACTCAACATCCCATTAAGTGCAAATTGAGTTTTTTTGTGACTCAAGTTGTGACTTTCTCTAATAGATTTGTAAGTGCTAGAATAGACTTTAACTACTTTTTTGCGAGCTCCTAAGCCTGAGAAATGATACCATGTATAATTGTGAGATTCCGATCCCAAACCAATTGACAATAAGAGGAGTAATTCATAAGTCTTACTTCGTACTCCGTATTTATTAGTCTCTTTTTTGAGCTTGAGTGTTAGTGAGATTATATCCTCAGCAATTTGTATGTGAATTTGGCTGGATAGGAGGTGGCTTGCAACCATGCTCAGAGTGTTGGGTTTTCGACAGACGGGTTTTCGACCACACATAACATGAGAAAATTGCATCTGATATGGGTCACTGCACGCATGCACATTGAGATTTATAAATACCCTGCTTGGTAATGACTTAACTTGAGAATACAATGTATTCTACCAACTATGAAATTATTTGGTTAAAACAATAATCCGTGGTATTGTGTATTATGGACAGGAGCGATGTTGTTGAGATAGAGACTTGGTGCCAGAGTGAGGGGAGAGTACGGGCAAGACGCGATTGGATTCTTAAAGATTATGCAAATGGTGAAGTCATTGGAAGGGCTACCAGGTTCTAATGTTTTTTTCTCTCAATTCAGTGCTATTCTTATCATAGTCCATGTAAACAAGCAAACAATACTTTTCTTCATGTTATATTGATAATCACTACAGCTGAGGAAGTATTACCACTAGGCAACTAAGTTTTCCAATTGTGATTTACAAAGCTTGAACTTTTATGGCTTGTTTGGTATAAGGATGGAGTTCAATTCCTGGGAAGCCAACTCCACCTATTTCCTAGCTCGAACTTGTAAACGGTGCAGCTTCGTTAAAAGAGAAAACATTTTTCCAGAGATTTTACTTTTTAGCCAGTCAGGGTTAGCCATTCGGCCTTTATATATACAACAAAGGGAGTTTTGAGCATTTTGTCTTTATTCATTTCTTTCCTAATTATAATTCAAATTTACCAATTCCCATCCGCCAAGCGAACCACAAGTATTTGAATTATGTAACATGGTGTTGCATTTAACTTTTTGTTTTTCTTGGTCATTTGCACCCACAGACGCTGAAGATTATTACTTGCATCATTTGATAAATGCAGCAGGTGGGTGATGATGAACCAAGACACTAGACGGCTTCAGAAAATCACTGATGATGTGCACGATGAGTATCTAGTTTACTGTCCTATAACACCTAGGCTAGCTTTCCCTGAGGCAAACAATGGAAGCATGAAGCGAATAGCCAAGCTGGAGGATCCTGCCGAGAATTCCCGACTAGGACTGGTGGTAAGTAGACACTAGGGCAGTAGCAGTGTTGGTATCAGTTTGAGAGTGAATGATGGCTTGGGCACTGGGCTAAGTTATATCCTATTACACTTACATATATTTAGTGACTTTTGCAGCCAAGAAGAGGTGATTTGGATATGAACCAACACGTAAATAATGTCACCTACATCGGATGGGTTCTTGAGGTTGGTAGACTTTTTACTTTCCATCCTGATGCATCTTCTTTCTCTTTACTATTTCAATGTGTCCTCCTCAGAAATGTACTTTTTCTTTTTAGAAAGTTCAGTGATAAGTCATTTATGCCGAATAACCTTTACCAGATAGGTCTTAAATGACATGCAACCATTTACCTCTCTACTCATACCATTTCACCCCTAACATTTCCATATTGACAACCTTGAATTGCATGGTTTTACCAATGCACCTAGTTGGAAGCCATATATATCTGCTTTAGAAGTTAGCCTTTTTGTATTTAAAGTTGTGAAATGAATAAAAACGACAGCTTTACTTTTGTTTTCATACACCACTCTCTTTATATTATTGTTGATATGTTTATTGCAGAGTATGCCCCAAGAAACCATTGACACACATGAGCTACAAAGCATAACATTAGATTATAGACGCGAATGCCAACACGATGACGTGGTTGATTCCCTCACAAGCGTCGAATTGGCCAACGAAACCATTTCTTTAGAAGTGAGCGGACCAAAAGGACCCCCTACTAATATGAGCACTCAAAACGAGCGCTTCCTACACTTACTGAGATTATCTGGCAGTGAACTAGAAATAAACAGAGCCCGAACAGAGTGGATCCGGAAGCCTGCCCAATACTAGTGAGCTTTTATAGTTTTGAAAGAATAATGAAACTGTTATATAAGCCTGAATCTCTTATTTATACTCCGTATATAATACACAAACCTATTCTCTTGGACGGATACAATTAGAAGAAAGTCTTTGGCCAAATTCTTAAACAAAATAATAACCAAAACCATTTCAGAAATATGAAGTGCATTGTTACATGAAACAGAGTACTAGAACTAAACATTTTACATGTAGCAGATGAAGATTAACATTAAAGAAATTTGAAATCTAGGGTCGGACACTAACAAAACAAGTTAAATTCTTATATGGACCTAGGGTTCATGTAAAAAATATGAGCCTTGTAACATTAGTAATAAATTATTATTCAAATATGCATGTATTTTTTTATTTTTAATTTTATTAATTTGCTTATGTGAGAAGGACCACGGTACATCTTAGGTCCATAATAGAAGCACTCAATGAAGAAAAAAGCTCACAAAATAAGATTCATCTGCACCACAACTACCCCTTATATATCAGAAAAATACAAATATATAAATTGAAGCAGAAACCTGCCAATTCTGCAAAACAACCAGTGATGTAATCATGAATTGGATCAAGATGAAACCTAAGAGAGCTTCATCTTTGATATCACCAGGGAAAGCAACATTTCTGGGTAAAAAGAAAAAAAAAGAAAAATGCAAAGGGGGCATGAGAAAGGGAAATATGTGTTGCTTAAGGACCATTTGAATGAAAAGGAGCTTCAGGGCATACCTGAGAAGCTTCTTCTACTTGTTTCTGAGCTTTGTATGATGGCCTATCAGCTGATTCTCGCTGCATTTTCTTTCTCGCTTTTTCGAAAATCTCGGTGTAGTTTTCTGCTGATTGAGGGTTTCTGCCCCACTCCCCAAATCTTGGAATTGCAGTTTCTGCTTCTGGCTGCCCAAACAGAATGCAAAAACATTATTCTTTATTTGTTCTATGCAGGATCAATCCTTTTGCAAACTGAAGAAACCATTAGAGTACATAAAACCTTTTCCAAGCCTACAACTACAAGCTTGAGCTTTTGGTCATGGTTGTTGTTCCTTAACAGAAACTTACACTTTGATCCGGAAGAGGCTTTAACCGGGCTCTCCCATGGCTGCTGTCATGGGATCTTCCGGACGCCACCTTTTCCCTCCTGGGTAACTTCCCAAAGCTGGAATCACGGCCCGCGCTTGTGGTAGGGTTTGAACGGCGGCCTGGAGGATCATTCATGGCGGGACCGCCTCCACCGCGCCTCAGCTGATCCCCTGGCTTAGCAGAAGAGGGGGCCACGTTCTGAGACATCTCTGGAAAATCTTGGGGATCGTTCGGGTTTATAGCCTTCCCACCTTTATATTTCCTGGCTTGGTCGAAGCAGACCGTGTAGGGCTGAATCTCATTCTCCCAGTTCCCAAACCTTGGCACGTTCGGACGCTGCATTTCAAACCCAACCTCTTATCACTAGTTGCAACCACGCACTTATTACTAAGGTGTTCATTCCTTCATTCATATTTTCACTATGATTCGACTAGACGTCTGTACTAAACGACGAATACGATGAGAAAATCTAAACCAAAATTCTACTGATGGCTTGATAAATAATAATTCAGAGTGTTATGAATGAAGAGAATTTGAGAGATAGTTAAGAACATGAAGGAGTTGACTTACACCCATTCTTTCGAGGGCAAATTTGTCAAGATGACAGAACACAATCTTTTGAACTTCAAAGTGTGATGATGATGATGAAGAGTGAAGACACACATATACACATACATACATATATAGATATTTTTAAGAGAGAGAAATGACCCGGTTAAGAGATCACCATAATAATCAACCGTTGACCATGGCGATGCAGGCTGTAATGGTTGTTGACTAGGCTCTTCTTTTATTTCGATGACTTTTCAAGCGCTAGTCCAACTGCATGTATATAATTATACATGCACTATATTTTGATTTTTGACCCAGAGCATGTTCTTTCATTCTTATTGGAATTAGAGATGAGCAAAAGGACCGGACTAGTTAGACCGGATCAGTTTGGTCTTTTTTAAAAACCGGTCAAAACTAGTCCGGTCTTTGTGAAAAAATAGGGACGTTTGGGGACCGGGTAGTCACGTTAGGACTGGTCCAAGTCTAGTCTAGTCCTTAGCATTTAAAATTCTTAATTTTTGATCTCCAAAAAATAATCATTAAAAAAACAAAAAATACTTATTTTTGATCATTTAAATTTTTTTCTATACTTATGTTGTTTGACTGAAATTATTTTTCAAATCATTTTATATGACAAATGGTATAGAGTTAAAAAATAAAAATTACATATTAAAATACTAAATCAAAAGATTTACAAAACTAGTGGTGACAATAGTACTTTATTTTATCAAATTGATAACGAAAATAGAAAAAGACATTGAATAAAGTTTGACCCTGTAAATAGTAAACATGCACTATAAATTGGGACGAAGAAAGTATATAACTTGAATATATCATGTGAGATGGAAGTTGGATACAATTAATGAAAAAATAAATTTTTATACGTACGGAGTATGTTTTTATACACTTGAGATTTTTTTGTTATTACTTATTTGTAAATTCTTAAAAAAGTTATTTTTTAGTACTATGCTTTATGTTGATGGAATAACATATTTATGCAAAAATTAAATTTAAATTACAAATATAAATGTATAAAAATTATATTTCAAATACATTAAATCTCTAGTCCTAGATCGGTCTCGGTAGTCTTTCGAAAAAGACTACCCAGTTCGAGACCGATCTAGTCTTTCATTAAAAATCAAAGACCAAATGAGACTACCGGTCTAAGACCGGATCGGTCTCAAGGACCACTTCAGTCCCATATTTTCTAGTCTCAATCCCAATATATCTCAATCAATCATTTCGTTCTAGTCTTTATACTCATCACTAATTAGAAATAGAATAGATCAAATCAAATCAGAACTTATTTCAATTGCATCAGCACGAATCGGATCAAGTGAAGAGAACAAGTCTCGATTATTAAATGTTTTTGAAAGATAGTTATTTAAAACTATTTTTTTCTCAAAAGACTATTTTAAAAATATTTTAAAAAGGATTGTTATCTACATTGGGTCTATTGACATTTTACTTGTCAAATTATAACATTTAATTTATTTGAGATCCCTACAATACTCAGATGGAAATAAATACAATGGAGTACAAACTGTATCTTCATTTAACAATGTATTAATCTTCATCAATATTGAAAAAATATTTTTTACGACTATGATGATACGGAGAAAAAAACGTGCACAAGAAAATTCCGCACAAGATACATATTTTCATGTGGCGTGCCCTACGACAAGGCTTTACCAGTAAGAGTGAATTTGAACAAAAGACTTAACAATGTTAACTCTTTGTTGTGCACCTTGTGTGAGGAATCAGTTCTACATTGCCTATTATTTTGCCCCAAACTGCATGATGTTTGGGAGGAGCCAAAGATTGAAAATCTTATATACTCTTCAACACATGAGAATTATAGCTCTTGGTGGATGGACATCATCAATCTTGCTCAACACAATGCAAATCATGTTGGGAAGTGTTCTTTAACAACCATTGCCATGTGGAATATTTGGAAAGCTCGGAACTTGAAGATTTTCGAGCAAATAGAAGTTAGTCCGAGAGAGATCATCCGAACAACTCAGAAACTGACTTCGTACTCTTTGCTTGTCTTCTTCTTCTACAAGTTTGTCTTTTCATTTTACTTTCGTTATGGTTGGGGATCCCCCGTTTGCTACCTTTGAAGCCGGTGTCCGGCTGGACCATGTGTTTGTACTCTCTTTTTTATTACTCCGTATTTTTTTTGATAAAGGGTGGAGAGTGCCGCCTCTCTTTCTTGGGAAAAAAAGTTGTTATAGTCACGTGCTTTGTAAAACTTAAAACTTACTTCGTTAGTATGGTTTTATGTACGTATGACTAGTGTCAACGGAAGGTCGGTGCCAAATGAGCAGTGTACGTAAGAAACATTTCGTGGTCGAATGGCGCAATGTCAGTAACCCAAACAAACAAACAAACAAACATCGTGAAGTTAACCAACCAAACAGGCCCTTAGGAATTGATCGTCAACGATCACGTGCATGAGGATCCCAGAAACAGTGCTATTGTATTACATCTACTTTTACAGTTAAGAAGGAAAAGAGCCATCACAATTAATCAATCAATACAAACCTATCCGAACTTCTCAGCGTTTAGACTCCAGTGCTAGAAGTATCTTCTTTCTTGGACCCTGCAGCAAACAATGAAACCATCCAATTCTCTCATTCATAGGAGAAGATAAACACTTAATACTGCATTAAGGTATTCTTCTACAAATTGAGTGGCGCCAGCGGGGGTTGTTGAAGGGCATACAAAGCCGATGCAATGACCCCCCCCCCCCCCCCCCCNACTCAGGGGGGGACACCCAATGACCCAATAGTCATAGTATGGGAGGGCTTGTCAAAAAAGCTAAACAAAATACAGTAATATAGACTAATTTCTTTGGGAGGGATAATCCTATGGGACACAATCAAGCAGATGTCTTGCTCTCCAACAAAAGATTATATATAAAAATATTAGCGGAATACAAAAGATTATATTTTAGCAAAGTATAACTATTGAAAAGCATATATTCTAACTATTTTTGGTAAATTTATTTGTTGGTTTAACTAATTTTAGCATGCTGAACTTTTTAGTAAAAAGAGGATCATGATAATTAACTACTTTTTGTTAATCAATTTTTTGGACACACAAAGTTCTCAAATATTGCATTTTGGGGACTTTGACAGAGTATATAACTATTTCATGATCATTAAAACATATAAATTCAGAAATTTTAGCAACTCCATGCTCTTTGCCAGCCGTTCAAACATGCAAGAAATTGGAGACATTATTGTACATTTCCCTGATTACTCTATTACAAATAAAAGGCTACTTTATTCAACTGCCTTTAATGAGATCCTTGGACTCACAATGGGGAAATATATCTATTGCAGATGATCTTTTTAATATTCTTTTTGATCCCTAAAAACAAGGATATAGATATAGATATAAAGGACAAAGGTCTTGGCCATGGGTGCATCAATTGTCCCGTGGCTGAGGTCCTACAAAAGGGTATGTGGAAAATAAGATGCGTAAATCAGGGTTAAGGTCGTTCAAACATTTCGAGAGAAGAAATGGAATGTAGGTGCGAGAGGCAAGTTGCAGGGTGTTTAAAGAGAGGTAGAACTAGGCCGAGAAAGGGTTGTAGTATGTTTGGTTAAAGGAATTAGGAAGAAAAGGAAAAGAAAATGATTTCTACTTTTATTCACCAAATTGAAAGGAATCTTGTTTTCTCTCTTCTTAGCTTATTTTTTCTAATCATTTCATTTTCCTCTCTAACCGAACATGAAAAATTGTTTTCCATATCATTTTCTTTTCTTTTTGCTCTCTAATTTCTTGAACCAAACATATTATTATGGATAAGTGATAATCCAGGACATGTTGCTTTTGCAACTTAGCAAATACATGACCTCATAGAGGAATTAGGAGATCAAGGACTAGAGTTGTAGGTTAGTTAGACCTCCGGGAGACTTGTGTTCTAGGAGGGTGTTAGAAGTGCTTTGGTGCCCTTAAGTAACCTTTTGTGTCCTGATTTTTACTATTCCTCTCTTACTCTCCTTTATATTTAAGCCTTACTCTTGGACTATCCTCAACATATGATTGTTGTAACATGTTTCTGTTTGTTTTCTTGAGCCGGTGTCTTTGAGAAACATATCTCTATCTCTCTGAGTGGGGATAAGGTTTGTGACTCTGTGTACACTCTCCCAAGACCCCACTTGTGGGATTTCATTGGGTTGTTTCCCTAAAAAAATCATTATCTTATTTCCTAAGATCCATAAATTCAACAAAACCTTACTCATAATTTCTGTAATAAATTCCCAAAAGTATATTTCATATAATGTAAACTGATCATTTACCATTGGTATTCCCATGGCCTTGAGATCTCCATCTGTCATGTGTACAAGGGCATCCATATCAACCTACATTAATAGCGAATAGTATGTTTACTTTTCTGCAGCAAACATCAACACACTATACATAAATTGTAAACAAGAAAATGACATACTTCTTCAGCTTGGAATGTGATGGAATATTTTTCAAGACCTAAAGGCTGGAGAAAATTATCCACTGATCCAACCTGCACCAGATATGTTTAAATTAAATGAGAGCAAAAGAAACACAAAACAATAATCTTTTTGAAACCTATACACTGTATATTTGAGCAGCAACACAACTTGGAATTGTAGTAGTAACCAGGAGGAAAAGAAATGTTGAACAAAAGAGAAATTTCAATTCTCAAAACAAAAAAAGTTGGGACTTTCACATTATCTTTAAATATTTTTTATCTGGTAATGAAAAAGAAAACAGAACTTGCAAATCTCAGGTAATGTTCTCTACTCCTCTGGGAACTCGCCAACATCCTGGTAGTTGTTCTCCTTGAAATAGTTGTTCTTGAACTGATTTCTTGATTTTCCGGCAAAATCTTTTGCATTTTCAGATGGACTTTTCACATATTTCTCTGTGTTGACATTGTAGAAGTATTTCCTGTTTTCCAAGAATCTCATGTCGCTCATTTCAAAAGTACCATGTCGGATCTGTCTCTTCTGAGCAAGACCGTTCAAGATCCGAATAGGATCTAGGAGTTCTCACCTACTCATTTGTAAATGTAGGGGTGGGAAGAGAGGAAGAATCTACACAGATCTTGGCTTATGAGAATGAACGAGGGAAATGTAGGTTACAAGAGACCATCGATGAATAACGGAGAAAATGGTTGGGAGGGGAGGGCGGCAACTAAAGGTGGAGATGGAATACGAAGAAGAGAGATTGATAAATTGGGGATAGGTAGTAGTGTGAGCAAGTAATAGGCAATCTACACATTTAGTACTAAAAGTGGATAGGTGAATATTTTTGTGAGGGGGATAAAAATGAGAAGGGTAAAGAGTTTTGAGGGACGGAGGGAGCATGTAATTGGCAATAAAACCAACACACAAACTCCATGTGAAAACCCCACTAATTGCAAAAAAGGGATATGTTCATAAGGTAATGTAAAAGAGTTGACAAGTCTAGTGCCACACTTTTTGGCATTCCTTTAGAGTGATAAGGGAATCACCCATGGAGATAAGGATTAACAAAAGATCATGTCAAGTTTAGTCAGATTTGGATGCATGATATCCCAAAAGTCTTTGAAAGTGTATTCGCCTATTAAGGGCAAACCTAAATATACACTCCATTATTCTTCCAAGACTGTAATGCAAGCTACATCCTTAAGACAACAACTAAAAACTAGACATGCCACACATATTACGTAATTAATTAACATTCTTGTTCTAATTTGATCGCAATATATTTCTAATAAAAAGGCACCGCATGATTATTACAATCTTAGATAGGTTTACCTAACGAACAAATACAGTACAACCCCCTTAAATTAATAGCTTTTGGACAAAAAAACTTCTATTAATTTAACGCATTATTACTTACTTGATAAACTAATAATTTACTATTAATTTAACAATGTGTATGACTTTTAGCATAAATAGTACTCTGTACTCCATACAAAATTGTTATGAAGAGATTTCAAAGGTCATTGTTATATTAACTAATGTTTTAGAATTGAATGTTGTAAAGCTTTTATAATAAAAAACGATTACGAGTACAAACGAACACCAGTTTTAAACTTATATGGGGCCAAAAAACATGAACTGGAAAATCAAACAGTAATAATGTGCACTCAAATAAACTTGCCTTCTTCTGGTTCTTCTTAACAACCTTGTTGGCAGCTTTCTTGGTTTCGGTTACAGGAGATTCAGCTACAACTTTTTCCTTAACAGCAGAGCTTATAACAGGGGCTTTCTTCCGCTTCACGGTAGGCTTTGGAAGATCAATATCCATTTGGGAATACGATATACCAGAAAGCTTTTCACGTAGATCCCTTACACCTCCAGAGACAGACGCTTTCCCGCTTTGAAGAGTCTGTTGGTTACTTTTCCTTTGCAGCTTCAAGCGCAGGTCTTTAGAACCTGTTCCGCTTCCTGTTCATGAAAACTTGAAAAGATTATATATAGAAACAATAGAAAAACAGTTAATGCATTCAAACGAAAAGATTCCCATACTTAACATGCGAGGTCTATTGAGATCATACAATTCATGCCCCCATTTGTCATCTTCTCTCTGCCTGCAGAGCACGTCACAGCTTTATAATAATATGTATCAGGAGTATCCATGTATCTGCAGAGATATTCTGTGAGTTGAATTTCTTATACAGAAAAATGGCAGCAACCATTCTCTCAAACTCAATATGTCATTTCAAGTATAAACAGAAATTCCATTTTCAGTTCATCTCTCAGACAACGTCATCCCATAGCAACCAACAGTTATCGAATTACCATTGTGAGCTATTTAAATTGAAAGCCAGCTACTGAACATATTTCTCCCAATACTTTAAGTCTTCCAGAGAATCATTCAACACAAATGTATAATTAGTTTACCAGCGCAACTGAGTACTGACTACTGCTGTTGACGAGCTAGTAAACATCAACTAGATTGATTTGCAAGGCAGTTTTAGTAACGAATTCTCTCTAAATAGAATCGGCTTTTTAACAGGGGAAATGGTAACGATTAGAATTAACTATTAAGTGTTCAACTTTTCGCAGTCATACATCGCAATTCCTAAAACCCCATCCCAGCATTCGCCATTCATACATAAATAGAGGATGAGATACACAGCAAATCGTACGATTAAGAAGAAAGAGAACCTCTTGCCGGAAAGTTGTCGCGGGCGACCAGAACCGTCATGAGCGCTGCCGTTGAGCCGGTCCTTAATTGGCAGCCTCGTTCCAGCCTCCAATCGATCAGCGTACATCGCATGAATTGGTTTTGGCGGGATGCGAATAGTCAACACAGCGAATCAAATGTCCGAAACCCTAACCCTAATTCAGTAACACCGAGTTTACAGAAGCAATCGCGAACCGAATGAATACAGAATCAAGCAGTAATGTGACTATGTGAGTTGGAAGGGAAAAGGAGGGTTGAGTTGCTGAACAAGACGACCAAAACCCTTTAGAATATGTTTGGTTGGGAAAGAAGAAAGAATGAAAATATTTTTCTAATTTAGTTAGATAGGAAAAATGGAAAATAAAAGAACGGTCCGGTTCCATGGCCACTGAAATCTAGTGGCCACGGAAGCCACTGCCCTCCTACGGAGCTCCGTTCATAAAATTGATGATTCCTACCCCATTTAACCCCCGGTAAACCCCCCCAAGTCCCGACCCAAACTAATCACCCCACTTACGTCAATTGCACCTCGTAAGTATAATTGACTTTAAAGTCAAAAGTTTTGACTTTATACTTACGAGATGCAATTGACGTAGATGGGGTGATTAGTTTGGGTCGGGACTTGGCGGGGGGATTTACCGGGGGTTAGAAGGGATAGGAATCATCAATTTTATGAACGGAGCTCTGTAGGGGCAGTGGCTTCCGTGGCCACTGGATTCCAGTGGCTATGTAACCGAGCCGATAAAAGAAATGTGAGAGAAAAAAAAGAAGACAAAATAAAAAGTATACTAAAAGATTCCTTTCATTTTGGTGAAGAAAGTAAGAGAAGTCATTTTCTTTTTTCCTTCCAAATTTCTTGAACCAAACATAGAGTTAGTTCTATATTATAGCATTTTCTTTTTATTATTCATTATTTTTAATTAAAAACTTATATAAATTTAATAAAGATATTTACATATCATCAAAAATTGACAAATAAAAATAATTATAACAATAAAAAGAGCAAATTTAACATGCTTAAAATTAAAATTAAATCATAAACACTACTCCCTCTAATTCTAAAGATCTTTCCTGTTTTAACCTTTTTTGTCAAAAAAGTAACACTCTTTGATTATAAATTATGAGAATAACATATTTAATTATGATATAAATTCAATACAATTAAGTTTCTCTTAAGTATAATTTTGATATATCAAATTGTTATACTCCCTCCGTCCCGGAGTATTCGTCCAGTTTTGACTTTTGGAACTTCATCTAAGCACTTTGACTCATCAAATTCTCTCAATGTGTAAACCTAAATATAGTCATGTGTGATCTTGTTTGATTTGTCTTAACATATAGATTATTAATATATAATTTCTATAATTTTTTAATATAAAAATTGCAAGATAAAATGGATTAAAGAAGTGCATTGGATGGTGTGTAAAAATGAAAGTGGACAAATACTCTGGGACGGAGGTAGTATCATTTATTTATTTATTTAGATTATGTATATATAATTTGTGACTAAAGAATATCATTGTTTGACCAAAAATTGTCAAAATAGGAAATGATATTATGACCGGAGTAAGTAAAAAATATTGTAAAAAAATGCTTGGAAATTTAAAACTTAAAAAAGTACTATTAATTTTTCCTTCTAATCATGGCAAGAGATGCATTCATCATGTCGTTGTCCATCTTCAGCCCCCTATCCGATAATCCAATATCCTCCGACGTATGATCTCTCCTGAGTCTCATGAGGAGGTTGTTATGAACAACCATGCTTGTTTTCTCCATGAAAATATACATTCTGACCAGCGTCGCAATTAAATATAGTGATGTCAAAAGTTCTACAAAACAAAATGTGACATAACTATATTATTTTATCGATTGATTAACGAAAAAATGAGAAGAAAATGAATGAAATTTGACCTCATAAATAATAAACAAACACCTCATTTTTGAAGTTTTTTGAATGTATATATTTATTTTCCAATTACTTTGTATTATTTTTATTCTTTTTGAATGCATACATTTATTTTACAAGTACACTAATTGTTTTCTAATATCATGACATTAATTTTATGATATAATTTCAGTCCGTGAAATATAATTTCTATTCTCTAAAATTAGAAATTTTGTAATAACCATGGCAATACATGTATGTCTAAATTGCCGCTCTAATGAAGTTTATGACTAAAAATTGAAAATATACCAAAATAGGACTTTCATATTTTATTTCTGAAGTAGACTTACTTTATTGATGCAGATGATTTTTTGATGTGCCGTAGTGCACTGAAAACCTTCGATCAAAAAGAGAGGTGAAGTAAGATGAAAATGGTGGATGGAGTAACTGGTGGGTAAAGTGGATAATGAAATGGAATGAGAATGTGGGAAACGTAAATGGAATGAGTATAGTGGTGGAAGTAAGGGATGTCATGTCCACGGGGATGGCGTGATTGGTTAGGAATTGAGTGCAAAGTGTAACTAAACACTAATATCGAATCGTATAATGTGAATCAAGGCCTAAAAGTAGAGAGAAGGTGAATGATGCAAGATTGCAAGTGAATGAAACTAAACTAATGCAATGAACAACTAAAATGAAATGGAAGTAGAAAAAGGAAAGTAAGCCTAGGTTAGAGATTTCATGTCAATCATGCGAATAGCCAATGAATTAGGAGAACAAGAGAAATTAACTAGAGAGCAAGCAAATCACCTCGATTCTCACTTTTGTGAGAATCGAAAAAGAGTCCCCTAGCGAAGAACCCACTTCCGTGGTGCTCGTCTCAAGAGAACTACAAAAAGGACAAACAAACTCCTCAAATATCCTCCACTTCCGTAGTAGGACATGAGAGGGAGACTCACGGCTAGGGTTCTAAATCCGAATTCCTCGGTGATTTAGAGACCAATCCGGAACATAAGTATGCCATCATGGCCAACAATAACATCCAAGTCTAAGCAAGGCACAATCTCCTCAAACAACCTAGAGCAATATCTCACATCCACAACAATCCAATGACAATGAACACAAATTAACAATTCTTCCCTAACCTAGGCTAGAACATCTAGCCTAGCATGCTTAAACTAAGAGATGCATAAAGATAAGAGAGTAAGAAATAAGGTAAAGACATAAACGAGATGAAGAAATAAAGATCAATACTAAGAGACAACTAAATAATATTTAAGAGATAAGAAAGTAAGAAATAAGGTAAAGGCATAAACGAGATGAAGAAAATAAGAATCTAACACTAAGAGTAACACTAAGAGGCAACTATTAAGATTAAAGAGACAATATCTAAATTTGGAGCACCCAAAATAAAATAAGATGGTGAAAGAGAAGAACAAACCCTAGTCTAAAAATGTAAATGGGGGAGCTTCCCTAACAATTTGGAGCTAGGGGAGTATATATAGAGTAAGAGAAATTGGGAGTAAAATGACACACATGGGTATAAATCTGAAATTTAAATAAGGCATGGACAAGGGGTAAAATAGACAATTTGCACCCCAAAATTAGATCCGAAAATCTGCTCTGTCGCTCCTTTGTTGTTCGCTGGGAAGTGCATCACCGGAAAGAGGGAGTCAGCTGCCAGTGATGCTCGTCGCCGGAGGAGGGGGAAGCCCTGGTCGCCGCTGCTGCTGCCGATTCGTCGGAGTTTGGTGCTCGCTGGATTTGGACGACGCTTCTAGGGAGCTGTGACGCCGCTGGAGGATGCTGGAGTGTGGAGCTCGCCGGATTTTCGTCGTCGCTGCTTCTCGCCGCATGTGGTCGCCGGGTCGAGTCGCAGAGCTCGTTCCTCCCTCCGTCCGTCTCGATTTCGATCCAGCAGCTCAGGAGAACACCCAATTACTCTTCAAATTAGATTATTAGAATGGAACTTTTCGTAATCAGAGATTGACCCCAACTCTTTAAATTTGCTTGCAAATCTGTCCTTGTCTTGAATTTGGGCTCTAAAATCAATCAATTAACACAAATTAATCCAAAATCATACATTTAAGGCAAAATTCATAAAAATACTTTCAGAAATGACAGATTTTACATAAATACTCTCAAATTTGTTTACTTACATTGTTATTTCCACATTTGTCTATTATTTACGTCGTTACTCTGTGATTGCTTCATCATCAGTGTTTCTGGGGTGCGTCTTTTTAAATGGGGTTCTTCATCTTTTTTTATTGAATTCAAATTAAATTAATATGAACAGACTTCATATTAAACATTAAAAAGATTTAGAAAGTTTGAAATTTGATTTTTTTTAAACAAGTGATGGAAATAAGGACAATGATTAGGCTTACTATGACATGAGAAAGTCGATGGAGAGAATGAGTTGAGGTGAATTTGGTATATTAGAGTGAAAAATACATGTCTGTATTTTAACTGCTCACTTAGCGCAAAAAAAAATGCATCCAAGTAACACTAATGATCACTACCAAATTTGGGAGCAATGATGTAAATAATAGACAAATGTGGGAGTAATGATGGAAATAAACAAATTTGGGAGTATTTATGTAAAATATGTAATTTTTGGGAGTATTCTTGTCAATTTTTCCTATATTTAATAAATACTCCCTCCGTCCCGGAGTATTCGTCCAGTTTTGACTTTTGGAACTGTTCATCTAAGCACTTTGACTCATCAAATTTTCTCAATGTGTAAGCCTAAATATAGTCATGTGTGATCTTGTTTGATTTGTCTTAACATATAGATTATTAATATATAATTTCTATAATTTTTTAATATACAAATTACAAGATAAAATAGATTATAGAAGTGTATTAGATGGTGTGTAAAAATGAAAGTGGACAAATACTCTGGGACGAAGGTAGTAATACATAATTAAGCCTCAAATTATATTAAAATCCAAACTAATTAATCTATCAAAAGATAACGAAGTTAGCTCAAATATACGACTTATAAATTATCAAACATGATCATGTACATTACCAAGAAAGTATTGTAATGTGCACATGTACAGTGCCACATTACCACAGTACAAAATCCTATATCGGGAAAAAAATGAATGTCTTATTTTGGTACTTTATCTATGTTTTAGTCATATTTATGGTAATTTCTATTGTTATTCAGTACTTCATATGAATCAAAGTAAACTTTCTTCTATCCATTTCGGGAAATGATTTGTTCACAAACACAATCGTTACAAACTTCACAAACTTACTATTTGTGAATTTCAATAAAAAGAATTAAATAGTCCAAAACAATTTTAAAATAAGAATTTAGACCATAAATAGTAAGTTTGTGGAGTTTGTGACCATTCTGTTTGTGAACGTAACATTGCTCATCTATTTCACTTTCTACAATATATTTTTTAGAAAACTTTTTAGCATTTATATTTCTATTTATAAACAAATACTCCGTATATTTCATAAAAATATGATAGTTTAAAAAATTAATTACTCCAATAAGTTTTTATCACAATCCTTTTTCTTTTTGAAGCACACCACGGGGACTGTGGGGAAGTTTGGAGTCTTTTGGGCGGATTGAGTCAGATTGCTCATTTCCAAATTTAAAATTCTCATATTGCGCAAGTAGATGATGATGATGATGGCTGGTAAAACAGTTTCCGCAACTCGATGCCTAGAGATGAGGCACGGAATTTGAAGACCATCCGATGTCGTTTCCGTCCCCCCCTCCATCCCCCCAAAAAAAAATTATGGTTGGGTATCCTAGTTTTGCGATAAAATGTTTCAAAATCTCTTCCGTCTTTAAAATATACTTTGTGGCATTTGAAAATATTGAAAAAACTCACTTTGGAAGGACTTTTCGTCGAGGCAACACCGGTATCACTCGGTGACAAATGCGGAAGACAATTGATTATGGTGAAGCAAGAACGGCGTTTGGTAACCACGGAGCCACGATGTGAGCATATGACATTCCCAGCAATACTAACACTCTTTTCAATCCAAAAGTTTCTTTTCCTTTGATTTTTCACAGTATCTAATTTAATATTTTGACTAGTAATATGTATATTTATGCAAAAGAATATTTATATATAATTTAATGTTTCAAAAAGAATTTATTGATATCACGTTATTTATATAATAACACAATGTTTTTTTTAGAAATTAATGTCAAAATATACAAACTTTTTGATAAAAAAATCAAATGAAAAGAAAATCTTCAAACAGAGTGAGTAATTAATAATAATATTAATATTGATAATAATAGTAAAAGGAACAACAACAACAGTTGTTTGTATATTCTGACATTAAACTTACATTTTAATGAATTGAACAACAACAACAGTTGTTTGTATACCAATCTTTAAATAAAATGAATTGAAAAATGTGTAAGTTTATTTTTTTTGAAAGAATGTAAGTTTATTTTTTGTTTGTATACCAATCTTTATTTGTAAGTTTTTAAATATATTAAAGTACGTTGTAGTACATTGATACAAAAAGTTTTAGCGGCAGTAAACCTTCCCAAAAGTTAGGACGAGTAGTGGAAGTCTTCTCGGTTCGATTTGTGAAAGGAAGACTACTGAGCGCTTTTGCAGATGATATGACTTCGTGCCAAAGCATCATCTAGATAATTATTGTTGTAGTGTTATCACATATACTCCCTCCGTCCCAGTGTATTTGTCCAGTTTGACTTTTTCGAGTCAAATTGGACAAACTTTGAGCTTCAATTAAATAAAAATCGTAATGTATTTTAACATAAAAATAACTTTATTGGATTTATCGTATTGAGAATTTTCAAAATTGTATTTCATTATGCTAATATGCAATATAAATTGAGAGTAATTAGAGCTTAAAGTTTGTCTAGTTTGACTCGAAATAGTCAAACTGGACAAGTACACTGCGACGGATGTAGTATTTGGATAATGATATTTCTAATGTAAATATTTCATTAACTTATCTTAACTTTAGATACCCCGTACTATTAATGAGTTCTGAAATTTTGACTTAATTATAAATTTCATATCTCTTAAACAAGGCAAAAACTAGTTTAAAATAATTAATTAATTTCTATCTTGACATGATTAATTAATTTAATAATATATTTAAAATAATTTCTATCTTGGCTATTTAGAGAAATGACTTAAGTTTTAGTGCTATTTAGTGCAAATATTTCTAATAGAATATCTTATTAAAATTGTACTCCGTAAGTATTAAAACTTTCAACGAGAAGCAGAGTCGGATGCACTTTGGACAACTAGAAAAAAATTATATTAAAATATTGAAATATAGAGCGGAAAAAGGGAAGAAATAAATGATATTATCATTAAAGTTTTTTTTTCAAAATTTTTCCACAGATGAACCAAAATTCAGCCAACCAGATGCTGCCACGTGGCACGACCAAGTTGGCCAAGCAGCTCAAGTGGCGCATCACATTTTAGATATTAGATAGGGCAGCAAATCATCATTTCATTATTACCATACAAACAGACAAACAAACAAAAACGGGAGTTGATGCAACTTTAGCAAAGAATATAATTGAAGAAAATAAAAAATCTTTGCAATTCTGTGGATGGAAATCAACAGCCGTTCGCACTCGCCGGTCATGAAGATCATACACAGAGGGCTACGTCACTTCATTACATCTAAATACAATTACTATATTAAATTTAGCCCATAAAATGAATATGCGGCGGCGTTTAAAGAAAACATCTGAAAATTTTTAGCTGATTTTTTGAGGCTATCTGTAACCAATTTTCTTGCAACCATTTTTCATATAAAATGATTTTAAAATAACTTAAGTCAAATGTCGTAACGCGCAATGTGAGTTTATTTGTGGACGGAGCCCGGAGGGAGTATATTTTAAAAAAAATGATAGGACCAGGAAGTTCTTACTACAAAAATGACGATAGCCATCAACAATGTTTTGGGAAGAAAAACATCAAAAGATAATGGAGCAAGTAGGTATGACGACGAAGGGATATACATTCTCCGGAGTGAGTTTTAGGATATTTTAAGGTAATATGAATACATTTTAAAAAAATGAAGGGACTCGGGATTTCTTGCCAGAAAATTGGATGGTGGAACCCATCAACAACTTTTTGCCCGGATGCTCAATATTTTCTTACCAACTTGGTATTATGTCAGTTTTTCTCTCCTAATGCTATCTTTTATCTTCTTTTAAAGGTGTGGTTCCCCTGGTTCCCTTTCCCATCCATTTTTTATTTTTAATTTTCAATTTTATATCTATTTTAATTAAAAAACTTACACATAACACGTAAAATAAATATTTCTCTAATACTTTCTTCCTCTTGTATTTGTCTAGTTTTTATTTTTTGGAGTCAACCAGAATCAATCTTTGACATATAATTAAATAAAAATAATACATAGTATGGTATATACGAGGTATATTAATTAATTAAATAAAATTATATTTTAAAAATATTTTACAAGATAATTCCAATAAAATATTTTTTATTTTAATATCTAATATAAACTTTATTTAATTTATGACCATTTTTTCAATTTTTACTACCAAAATTCAAATTTGGACGAACACTTTGTGACGGAGGGAGTATATATATATATATATATACACACACACACACACACACATTCATGATCGAACTCTTAAAAGTAATTAATGAACGGAAGCATGGGATTTTCTCTTCTTCTAATCTCAAACTCCCTACTGCTTTTAGGATTAGCCGCGGGGGCTCTCTTGTTCTTCCCCATATGGCGGCGGCGGCAGCGAATGGGAAAGAGTAACAGTTACTCCGCACCAACCAAGACGACGTCGAGAAGTCCGCCGGAGGTGGCCGGCGCATGGCCCCTGCTCGGGCACCTCCGGCGGCTCTCCTCCGGGAAACAACCGCTGGTCCGGACGCTGGGAGAGCTGGCGGATAAATACGGGCCCATATTCACGATACGGGTGGGGATGCAACCGGCGGTGATAATCAGCAGCTGGGAAACCGCCCGGGATTGCTTCTCAACCAACGACAAGCTCCTCGCCGATCGCCCCCCTAACTGTGCTGGTATTTTAACTCAATGTATTTTTTCGGGGTTTTTTAAAAAAATATTTTCTTGTTATTTTAGGACCAATATATTCTCTATATCGTGGAATATTTTACTCACTTACTCCGTATTTTTAACTGGTTGTGCTATCATAGTCTTAATATCTAAATGTAAAATGAGCTCGGTTCCGTGTCCACTTAGAAATGGTTCTCATTGCTCTTTTTGGGAGCAAATAGAGCATTTATAAACAATTTTGGATCAAATGAGGATGACACTCCGTTAAATAAATGAAAATGCATATAGTGAGCTCGTAAGTGGGGTGATTAGTTTGAGAATCCAGTGGCCATGGAAGCCACTGCTCCCCTACGGAGTTCCGTTCATAAAATTGATGATTTCTACTCCTTCTAACCCTCCTGGTAAACCCCCCGCTAAGTCCCGACCCAAACTAATCACCCCACTTACGTCAATTGCACCTCGTGAGTATAAAGAAAAAACTTTTGACTTTAAAGTCAACTATACTTACGAGTTGCAATTGACGTAGATGAGGTGATTAGTTTGGGTCAGGACTTGGCGGGGGGAGGTTACCGGAGGGTTAGAGGGGTAGGAATTATCAATTTTATGAACGGAGCTCCGTAGGGGGCAGTGGCTTCCGTGACTACTGGAATCCAGTGGCCATGGAACAGGACTCATGTAAAATATGACCTTTTTCATATATTTTTATGATATTTTGGTTAGATGTATTTTGTTTTACAAGACTCAATATATTTAGTTATTTTATATCGAAAAATCATTTTTTAACACTTAGAAATGGTTTTCATTGCCCTTTTTGGGAGCAAATAGAGCATTTATAAACAATTTTGGATCAAATGAGGATGACACTCCGTTAAATAAATGAAAATGCTTATAGTCAGTTCGATTTACTTCTTCCGTGCCATAATTATCTTCTTACTTTCTTATTTTGGTTGTTCTGAATTTTTTTCCTCTTTCTTTTAAAAAAAAATTAAACTGTAAATCATACCAATTCTCTTTTCTCTGCACAAACTACAATTTTTTTTTCTATTTTATTAAAAATTGTGTCAAGTCAAACTCGTAAAAAAAATTCCTGACAAAGGGAATAAGATGTAAAAGTTGTAAATAAGTGGAAATTAAAAACTAAAAACCCATTGTCATAATTGTGAATAGATCCCTCATTATAATAAAAGTTACAAATAAGTGAAAAATAAAAATAAATTGAATAAACATTGTGATAAATTCCTATTTGAGTTGTCTCATTATTTTTTGGAAGATGCTTTTTGTACCCCATTTGTACAGTGCAGAGATCTACCAATATTTTGTGTTGGTGTAATATTAATTTTTGTTAATGCACAAACACTTTGTGTCAGTATAAATTTTTGTGAACGCACAAACACTTTGGATCAGTGTGAACCATCATAATGTTAGTACATGTTTTCAAATAGGATATAATTTTTGGACTATATTCTCTTTATATTTTTTTTCACTCTTTCCGTTTAAGGCCCACAAATATCAAAACACTACCCTATTAAAAATTGTGTCACTAGTAAACACAAGTCGAAAAAGATGATTAAAATGAAGAGGTGCGTGGGCAGGGAAGTACATGGGGTACGACTACGCGGTGTTGCCGTTCACTCTGTACGGCCCCTTCTGGCGGGAAATGCGGAAGCTGGTGGTGGTGGAATTGCTCTCCAACAACACGCTCGACAAGCTGCGGCCCGTCTGGATGTCGGAACTCGGCGCCAATCTCCGGGAACTCCACAGCACCGCCGCAGAATCGGCGTCCCCGAAGGCGGTGGACATGAGCCAGTGGTTCGGGCATCTGACGCTGAACCTGATCGTGAAGCTGATCGCCGGGAGGAGGTACACGTACAGGCCGAATCCGGCGGAGGCCGGCGGCGGCGAAGAAGAGGAGGCGCGGTGTATGACGAAGGTGTTCAAGGAGATTATGCGTCTGGTGGGGGAATTGGCCCCGGGGGATTCGTTCTACCCGACCCGATTGGTGCGGGGGTTGGATCTAGGCGGCCAGATTGCTTCGATGAAGCGAGTCTCTAAAGCAATGGACGCTATCCTGGAGAGCTGGATTGAAGACCATGTCAAGACGAGGAGGAGATCGGCTAACGACGGCAAGGGAGATGATGATCGAGACTTCATCGACGTGATGCTTTCCGTCATCGACCGGAAATTTCATTCCGCCGGCCATTCTTACAGTCGCGAAACCATAATCAAGGCGGCGTCACTGGTACGTTTGAATTAATAATTCACTTAATTTAAAATTAAAATTTTATTGAGAGAGTTTTCTAGATTGAACTTTTTAAAAAATTAAAGTAATTTCTGTTGAATGTTTAAAAACATTTTGCCAATAGTCCCTCTTTACCAGATTTTGGAGTCCGTTAAAGCTCATCACTATACCTGTTGGAACTTATGAAAATATTTGATCGATTAATGGCGAGCTGTATCGACTTATGTCCAACATTCGAATCCAGTTAGCGGGAACTAAATCAAGAATAATTATATAGGGTTTAAAAAAGTTTTAAATATACAGTAGAAGATAATGTTTGAAAAGGTGGTATTGATGCAAATCTAGCTTTGAAAGACCATCATTGATGCAATATTTGTAAAAATTCAGAGTCATAGTTACAACTTTTAAAATAAAAAAAAATTCGTACAGATTTGAAAAGTTGAGAGTAAATGACAAAAAAAACTCTTTGTTGAGCTCATACTCTTATGTACACAGAGTATGCTGGAAGATGCAGCAGACACGTTGGGTCTGAATTTGGAATGGGTACTGTCCCTATTACTCAACAATCCACAAGCCATGAAGAGAGTTCGAGAAGAAATAGACGACGCCGTAGCCGGCAAGCAAAGGTGGGCGGAGGAGTCCGACATTGACAAAATGCCCTACCTTCAAGCTGCCGTCAAAGAGGGAATGCGGCTGTACCCGGCGGCGCCCCTTCTGGTGCCCCACAGAGCCATGGAGGACTGCATCGTCGGCGGGTACACCGTCCCAAAGGGCACCGTCTTGTACGCCAACGCGTGGAAGATACACCGGGACCCTCGGGTGTGGCCGGACCCGGAGCAGTTCTCGCCGGAGAGATTCTTGGAGGGGAGCGGCGGCGGCGACGACCCGAGCAGGCATTTTGGGTTCATCCCGTTCGGGATCGGGCGGCGGTCCTGTCCCGGGATGTCGTACGCTCTGAAGGTGACGCATCTCACCGTCGCGCGCTTGCTTCAGGGGTTTGATATTGCAACTCCGGCGAACTTGCCGGTTGACATGTCGGAGGGTCAAGCCACCACTCTGCCCAGAGCGACTCCGTTGGAAGTGCATATTACTCCTCGCTTCCCTTCTTCCTTTTATCATGTTTTTTAAGTGGCAAAAACATATTTGTCTCCTCATCAATGCGTTTATGTTTGTCTCTTAAATAATTATTGATATTATTATTACTCCGAATGTACTGTCTAATTGGTGTGGGTACTTTTAACTATCAATAAATAAACATTCTGCATTTATGTTTATACTATGTGTCCCAAGAAACATTTATAACCACTTGATACTTTCTAAAAAAGGAAGCGAGCACAAGAAATTACAAACGAAAAATAAAGTTCAACAAAATAGGAAAGATGGAGTCAAACAGTTTCAAAGTTAGTGTCTTTTTAGCCATGTATGTATGTGTGTGTGTGTGTGTATATATATATATATATATCTGTGTGTGTGTGCGCGCGCACCAATTTATATGAATGAATTATGAATCCGGTCTATTCCCCAAGTGCATATTTAGGAGAACCCTGAACCAATTTATAGGCTTAAAGACTTGTTAAACATATTTTCTCCTATTTCTGTCATGTCTTGAGCATGTCCAAATTTCCCCTTTACAACTGGGAGGCAGGAAACTATCTAAAGCATGACACAATGAAATGAAAATGAGAAGAAAAAAAGGTGCGAATTGCTTAAGCTTTATCCCTACGGTAGTTCTGGTTAGAAGTCGAAATGGCTTGATGGGGCCCGGGCGAGAAGCCGAGTTTGACGCTGAAAATGGGGCGGTCGGCTAATGGTCTCTTGCTTTCCATCTTCCAGTTTACGATGAGATTGAAGATGAAAGCACATACCGAAACAAGTTATATATTACTCTAAAGGTGATCAGGTTGCGCGTGGAGATGACAACTTGGTTCGCGGCCAGCAAGACTGTGTTCCCTGTTTGGAAATCAGTGAGAATGAACATTAGACTCCGACTATGAAATTCTTGAACTCGGTAAAAAAAAAAAGATACACGCAAAAAGAAAATTCAGAAAAGAAGATTTTGAGGAATTACTTTATTAAAACTCTCATCCTTCAATAACTCCAAGGACTCGGCAAGCTCTACTTGTTGTGATGCTGTTGCAAACAATGCCTATAGAACACAAAAAATGTTTATATGGAAGGCAAATATAAGATCCAAAGAAAACCAATAATGGGCTCTCTAGTTTCTTACTTTCTTTGTCTTCTGCAAATCATACTCGATTGACTTGATGCGGTCCAATGAATCGAGAAGTATGTGTTCTTTTTCTGGAGGAATTTCTGTAGGTTTGTTCAAAAGCTCAGTCACTGCCTTTTCTAAGTGTTGCAACCTCTGGCAGCAGGGGTGAAGGGGATCCCCCTTTGGGGGGCATGATATTTTTTGTTTTTTATGCGAATTAAACCTCTGTTTGTTATCTGATGTCATGTCCAAATTTTCCTTCACACATATTTGACCAATTATTGGTCTGGAAATGTATATCCATCCAAGTAATTTGAATAGGATGTCCATCAATAGTTTGAAGATCGAGTTCCCTTGAACCTGGGAATCTCCGCTGGTCATATCTGCTAAAAAATAAGTAAAAACACGAATGATTTGCTTTGTAACTAAATTTTATGATGGAACTGCTATATCCTTCCCAAGTAAAACACGAAACAAGTTGAAGTTCTATGGTAGTATGGTACAATAATAATGGTAATCAAATGGAACAGTGGTAAATAGTTGAATTACTTACGTGAAACTCTATTGTTTTCAAGTATAATCCCATCATCCAGTTGTTCAACTATCTTGCAAAGAGATTCAGGTCTCCCTTCCGTTTCCTGGAGATTCAAGTTCAGAACATGATTATGAAAATGAAGAGATAAACACCTGATGTGGAGAAAGCAGCAACGTCTCTTTACACGCATGCACGCACATAGATAAAGGGAATAAAATGTGTGCACAAAATTACGACCATAATGAAATTAAAATCATATTCAGTAGATTCCAACGTCTTAGTAACTACCACAGGCAGAACATATGCATCAACAGTGGAAGAACCATTGTACATCATTTTCCTTTAACTACACAAGAAATCTTACAGTACAAGAGGCCCAGTAAAATGTCACAAAAAGTAGCTTATGAGGAGGGTGCGTGTATGCAGGCCTTAACCCAACTATGTAGGACAATACTTCAAGGGTTGATAAAGTGAGACTATAACATGAAGTAAAAAAGATGAGGCAAATATTTAACAGTAAATTAAGTAATATTGAATACTTACCTTGTTAGTAGAAAGTTGGATTGATTTTTTGCCACTACAAGTATAAAACCCTACATCCGCACCAGGTTCAGCAAACCCAATCTCACTTTTAGGTAACTGTTCCAATAGACGGTCTCAGGCAAATTGCTAATGAAAATATAGTCCGTAATAATGTAAACACCAGTATTTTTTTTCTTACCGTTAAAGAAAGTGGCTTGAATTCTATATCTTCACTGTCAGAGAAACTACCAAGCTTCCTATGAGTTGTTTCCCCATGTAAAGCAGAAACCAACTGCAAGTGATGGAAAGCATTAGATCGTCGCAGGTGTGTTACAAATCAAGGAAACAAATCAAAGCCTAGACTGGATGATAGAATGATAGCATACACACCTTCATCAACTCTGGATCATTCCAAGGTCCTTTATCAGATCTCATGCACCCACCCTCATTTGGGCACACACAGGTTCCTCCAAGAAAATCTGGCAGTTGGCTGCTCGGAAGAAATAAATTACGAAAGGAACAACAATATAACACAAGTTTTTTTCAAATACAAGTTAAAAGATCAAATTGATGGTATGTGTTTTTTAATAATCTAAAACACTAACACTCACTTAGGGTCGATGATTTCCAGTAATTTACTCTGGAATTTGCTCCCTAAGACCTGTAAATGCATAAATGTAATGTTCTTAGTTCAGTGTTTATTGTGGTCCTTGGGTACAAAACCATTTGACTACATATTCTTTTACATGTATCTTTGCCGTAGTCCGTGGATCAAGAAAGCCTTTAACTGTGTTCCATATCAATCTAAAGCCACTTCCAGCATTAACAATGAACATTTGGTGTAACGTCTGCAAAAATGATACTTGATTAACAGCCACAATAAAGAGAAATAAATAGAATACCAAACATCACTAGTATGCATTATTTCATAAAAATGACAATAAAGGCACCTCAGGATAGTTGTCACCATCTATTTTTTGTATTCGCATGACCAGTTCATGGGCGAGCTTTCCAAAACTTCTCCAGTTCTAGATGTTCTCAGCAGGAAAAAAGCTTTTTGAATAAGTAAAAAACAAAAAATCTCTTACAAATGTACCACAGATTGAAACAGTTGATAGATAGAATACATACCATTCCGTGGACATCAAGGATTGTGGTCGAACAATCTATATGCCTCTTTGATGCAATTGAACATGCAGGAAACTTCTCAGCAAAAGTCCTTTCAAACCCTTGGATGTGATACTTCAAGAAACGATCTACAGTTGTGACACTCAGAAGCCTACTGGGTTCAACTTTGCCAAGTCTTTCAATGTAGACAGGTCGCCCGCCTTTATCTACACCATGGTAACCATGAGGGTAGTAAAGCTGAACTTCTTGAAATTCATCGTAGGCAAAATCCTAAACCATATTGTTTTCCACAAAGCATTAATCAGAAGCGCATCTGACCAGATAATAAAGTTATCTGCTTCTACATATGCTGAGTAAAAACACAATCAGTTAAAGAACCAGACCGAACCAAACAAAGCCAGTATATCCCCACTTAAGAGTAGGGTCTGGGTAAAGTGGCCGCAAGCCTTGCCCCCACTCCAATGAAGCAGAGAGGTTGTTTCTAAGTGAACCCCCGACAACGCAACAAAAAGTTAAAATAGTACTGTACCGATTAAATTAATAGAAGGTATTACAGATGTAAATTTCTTTTCAATGAAATAAAAGGAAACAATTCAAAAAAGATGTCTAGACTAGTACTCTAGAGTTAATCTACCAAGCCTTGCAAAACACTCTTCATAAACACCATAATAAAGGAAACAAAACCTTGCATCAGACATGCATTATAAATCCGAACCGTCTATTACACATAGCAATCATTTAAGGTTACCTGTATTATAGTGTCCACTCCATTTTCTTTCCTCCAATTGAGCATTTCTGCCCACATTTGAATTGTCTTGTCGAGATCAAATTTCCTTGCTTTTAGAAATCTGAAAAGTTGTCCATGTAGTTAATTAACAACCTGAAAGAAAGGATCTAAAAAAGAAAACTATTTTCTGCTCTGCTGTTTGCGGAGACCTAATGCATCACCAATAACAATCTTCATAAAGATTTGTATGAACAGCATAGATCAATGATTCTTAAATGAAGTTTACTCTATTCATTTTGGAATGTACCAAAAAAAGTTTACACCCTTACTTTCTTATAAAGAGGAAGGATATATGACTCACCATATTTCTCTTTCTTCTAAACAACATTCAACCACACATTTTTTTTTACTTTTCAACCATTTTCTCAAACACTGAGTGAAGTCAAACAAAACTACATTTTGGATGAAGTGAGTACTCCCTCCACCCCGAAATAAACGTGACACTTTCTTTTTTGTTTGTCCCATAATAGTTTTCACATTCCTTTTAGAGAATGCTATAAGTGGTTCACTTCTTTCTCCTTTGCATAAATCTCAACTAATTAATTTCATTTTTACTTAGATTCTGTGAAAAAACAAATGGGACATTTAATTTGAAATGAAGGGAGTGTATCGGAGTAATATAATATAACAAGGCCCTGATGATGAAATAGTGTATATCTCATTTTCATGTTCACACTTTATATGTCAAACTTTGACCACTTTCTTTGTCTACTTTTATTACTCATTTGATGCAGTTTTCAAATATATATTATCCGTATTATTTGTTTTTAATTGAAAAGGATTGAATTTAAGCATCTTCGGACACAACAGGGAGGTCTTTTTCAGGGGTGGATGGAGTACATTCCGCATTATTTAAGACGGCCTACGAAATGTTGCTGCAAGGAGTATTATTCTCAGACGGGATTGTTATCCAATATTATCTCTACCTAGATAGTGCTTGAACTTTGAAGGAGTGTTTGAAGAAAACTACAAAGCAAAGAACCCATATTACTAGATGGTTGTCTCATTCAAACAAGGACTAAAATGTTAGCTCTGTTATCCAATGAAATAAGATATGTATTCACTACCTATTGTATTTCCCTTTT